AGACAGCTTTCACGACTCGCTATAGGACGTACGAGTATCTAGTAGTGCTATTTAGGTTATACAATGCACTAGCAGCGTTCTAAAGGTATATTAATAAGGCCCTTTTCGAATACCTCGACGACTTCTGCTCTACCTACCTCGACGATACCGTTGTATTTATAGACGGAGAAAGAGACCTTTATATACAGCACGTTAAAGCAGTCCTGTAGCGTTTCCGCGAATACGAGTTACTAATCGACATCTTTAAAAGCAAGTTCTTCGTAAAGGAGGTTAAGTACCTAGGACTTGTTATCGGCTCTAAAGGTGTTAGGGTAGATCCTAATAAGGTTAAAGCTGTTGTCGAATAGGCAACGCTACGCAATACAAAAGACGTCTTAGCATTTCTCGGAATAGCTAACTTCTATAGACGCTTTATCGCTAACTTCTCTACCGTCGCTCTCCCTATAACAGCGTTAATAAAGGGTATAAATGCTAAAGACCCGAAGCAACGAGCTCTATTCGTATAGACTACCGTATACTAAGACGCCTTTGTAGCCCTTAAGAATGCCTTTACAAAGGCTCTAGTACTAGCACACTATAATCCTAAGAAGCTATATACCGTCGAAACCGATTCTTCCGACAGAGTAATAGCTAGTATGCTGTCCTAACTAAGTAGTGAAGACGGCGCACTTAAACTAGTTGCGTTCTACTCTAAGAAGATGTCTCCGGCGGAATGCAACTACGAGATCTACGATAAGGAGCTTATAGCTATTATTAAGGCTTTTAAGGAATAGAGACTAGAGCTAATAGGCTCGGAATAAGTTATCAAAGTCCTTACTAACTATCGCACTCTATAGTACTTTATAACGATAAAGCAACTTAACCGGCGCTAAGCTAGATAGAGTGAATTCCTTTTAGCCTTCCGTTTTAAGATAGACTATCGTCCTAGTAAGCAAAACGCTAAAGCAGACTCCCTTACCCGTCGCGCTTAAGATTAAGATGCTACCGACGACGTCCGTAACCGGTAGCAAGCTATCCTTAAGCCGTATAACGTCTCCGAAGGCATAATACTATAAGTCGCCTACCTAACGATAGACGAATCCGAAGCCGCCGACCTCGCGTACGATTAGTATTATCTCGCCCTTATAGCACTAGAGGTAATTAATATAGGTAACAATAAATCCTCCGAAGAACTTATTAAAGCCGCATACGATAACGACCCGCTTGCAACTACTATTCGCGAGGCCCTAGCTACGGACAAGGACCGCATTAGTCCTACGGTTCTCGCTAAACTAAACGCCGGCATCTCGATAGTCGATTGCCGTATTAATAACGAAGGTTGTATACGCATTCGCAACAAGATTTACGTTCCTAATAACGACCTCCGCTAAGAAGTTATATACGTATGCTACAATAAACCTACCGTAGGACACCTAGGCCGCGAGAAGACATACGAGCTAGTGTTACGAGACTTCTACTAGCCTAGTATGTACGACTACGTCCGCAGGTATATATACGCTTACGCTACGTATCGTCGTATTAAAGCTTAGTATAATCAATTCTAAGGCAACCTTCGCTAGCTCCCTCTTCTAAACGGCGTCTAGACCTAAGTTACGCTCGATTATATCGTAGAGCTTCCTACTAGTCTTAATCGACTCGATAATAACACCTACGAGAATATACTTACTACTACTTGCCGCCTGTCTAAACGCAAGAAGTTTATGCCTACTCTAAATATAACGGGAGAACATGCTAGAGACCTCTAGTACTAGTATATATAGCGCGACGTAGGCTATATAGACATCTTCTATACGGATAGAGGCACTTAATAGACTTCGTCGTTCTTTAAGCGACTAATAAAGAACGTCGGTATAGAACAACGCATATTAATAGCCTTCTATCCGATAACTAACGGCTAATCTAAGAATACTAACAAAGAGCTTAAGCAATACCTGCGAGCATACGTTAACTATACCTAAGACGATTGGGTTAACTAGATTCTAAACGCCGAGTTTGTAGCAAACAGTGTCTAGTCGTCTGTTATAGGAGTTAGCCCCTTCTTCGCTACGACTAGCTGCAATATGCGTACGAAGTCCGCTAAGCCTATAAAACTGGACCTACCTACGGCCGGGCCCGTACGTACGTCCGAGCTTAAAGCTAATAAATTTGCGAAGCAAATAGAATTGCTATACGAACACCTTATTACCTAAATGCGATATACATAAGCACGCACCGCCGCCGCCGATAACAAGGCTCGCCGATACGGACCTACTCGAAGCTACAAAATTAGAGATAAGATATAGCTTAATATACGCAATATTTAGACTAAACGCCTAGCGAAGAAGCTCGACTATAAGCATATCGGTCCCTTCGAGATTACTCGAGTAATCGCTCCTAACGTCTATCAATTAGCGCTTCTAAATACGATGCGTATCTACGACCGTTTCTATACCTCGCTACTTCGACTCGACGACGGTAAGCTATATCCTAACTAGACTAACACCGAACCTCTACCCGAAGCGGACGAATAAGGATAAGAGCGTTAGGAGGTTAATAAGATTGTAGCAAGCCGTTAGAAGAACAGCCGTAGCAAGAAGGAAGTTGTTTATACTATATAATAGGTCGGTAGAGCGCTAACGGACAATAAATACACTAAGGATCTTAAAGGAACAGCCGAGGATACTATCGCCGACTAGCATTACGATAACCCTCGAGCTGCTAGACCGCTACCTAGATAGAAGAAGCTATTAGACTAGGTACTATACGAGCCTATAGAGAAGCTACTAGTACCTATAGCACCTCGCCGCTTAGTATACAATGCGCCTTCTGCCTAACCCGTCCGCCGAAGTATTAAACACCTTACCGGTATAGCCCTCCGGCATAGCTCTTTGGACCCTAGCTAAGGCCCTAACTATAAGGGACTATACTACACCTCTCGTGTCGTCCGTAGGATATAGCGTCGCGCCGCACTTGCTTACTACCGAGCAGTAGGTCTGTTAGCTTACGGTACGCTTCTTATACTCTATAACGATTTGTATACTATATTAATGCTTTAAACAAGCGTCGCAATACCTCCGCTTAAGGGGGGGGTAGTATTACGGGGTAACCCTCCTATTCCTAGTTGTAGATGCCTTAGGCATTAATTCTTAGCGTTGCTTTTACGCTTCCTTCGGCGTTATACGCTTCTCTCGCAGACAGCCATCTTCGAGAACTCGTTTTGAACTACTTAGTTGCCGCCCTTAACATTGCTAGCCTTTAATTTATATAGCTATATAACCCCTTATTATTACAAGTAGAAGTAATAGCTTAGTTAGAGGTTAGACATTATAGGAGGTAAGGTTTAGATAGAATAATATAATTAGATAGTTAAGCGTTTAATTTAGCGCGGCTAAATAGCTTAGTTAATCTGCTAAGTTAGCGGCAATAGAGATTAGATTAGAACATAGAAAGGCTACGAGGGCGCGGCCTTTAGAAGGGAAGCGTATATTAGAGGTTATACGTAATTGGTATATAACTAGACCGAGTAAAGCTAGGGTCCTTATGCCTTAGGCAGGGCTTAGCGCTTAGCGTTAGGCTAACTAGCCTGCCTTCCTCCCTCTCCTCTTAGATCTCTATCGAATACTATACTAATTTACTACTACCCTATCTACCTACTAATATAACCCTTCTTACAAACTGTCCGAGATATCTATAGCGAGTAGTACTATCCGGAACGCTTGCTATAGTAAATACTATCTAAAACGCCTATAGTAAATAGTATTCGAACTACTTATAGCGAATACCCTATATAACGCCTACTACGAGTATTCTATAAAACGCCTATAGCGAGTACTCTATAGAATATCTATACTATTCTATAGCGAGTACTAGTACTATTCGGAACGCGTAGGATAAGCCTTATTTTAAACGCTTAGTATAGTTAGTATTATATAAACTAGAACGCGTATAGTAAGGCTAATCCGAAATGCTTATAGCGAGCTTATAGTAGTAAATTCTATTCGTAACGCTTATACTAAGTACTATCTAGAATACCTATAGCGAGTAGTACTATCTAGAACGTCTAGAACGTATATAGTTTCCCTTTACGCCTCTAGCCTACGTCCGCGACGTAGGCCCCGAAACTAGTAGCTAAGGGATAGAAATAGAAATTTAGAATCGCGTAATATATCCGATCTAGTTTAAGTTAATTCTAGCTATAATAGGATTTAGTTATATTTTAAATAAAGCGGATATTCTAGTATAGTAGCAGACGGTATTTAGAGTAATATTAAATCCTACCTAATAGATCTAAATAAGACTTTAATAGTTTTACGTATAACTATTATTATTATATAAATCTACGAAGAGTATTTTTATTTCTTACGGCTTGCTATACTTTTATATTCTTTCGTCTAATTATAGTCTAATTACTTCCCTATTTTCTCTTTTTTTTAAATTACTATTATTTGCTTACGTTAAGATTAAGATAGATCTTAGCTTAAATATCTCTTATCTCTTATAAGTTATAGCGGAAAGCGGCGCCTTTTAGGAGTAATCTATATATACTCCGAATTTAAATATTAACTTCCTAGTAACTATTTATATTATAATAGCGTAGGTATAAAGGACGCGGTCCTACAATTTAAAAGTATTAGACTTATCGTTAGGTTTGCGCTCTTTAGGCATAGACGACATATAGGCCGATATGCTATAGGAGGTTATTCTTTTATCTTGTTCGAAGAAGTTAGAACTGTTTAGATATGGCTCTAGAGTTGGTAGTTATCTGACCTGAGCAAAAGATCCTTTCAAACCGACAATTCAATGGTTTGACAGTGGAAATGCTATCTCTCTGGTACACTATCAACCCCCCCCCCCCCCTCCTCCCCAATCGATATGCCCGAATACTCTAACTCCATCTCAACGCCATCGCCCCAAACATTCAAATGTGAGAGACGGAAAGGCACGGTACACAACAGGTGACTAGTCATTCATTACAAAAGTACCGACAACACTATCATCCATTAACCCCCGTGTTTCCCCAACTACAGCGCAAAAGCAAGTGCAGCGACCATGACCGAGATGGTCACGAATCCAGCGGCGCTGTAGCTAGCAGCGCTTCCCTCGAATGGCGCTGTGCCAGGGCCGTCGCTTGGTGCTGGGGAGTCGCCGCCACCCTCGCCGCCCATGTCAGTTGGTGGAGTGGTTGGGCTGTCGGTTGGGCCGGCAGCACCACCGGTAGCCTTTGCTCTGCAGTCTGGACCGGGGCATTTGACGGTCGTGGCGCTGTCTGTTGGGTATGGTGGGGCATCGCCAGAGTTGCTGGAGCCTGGAGCTGGTGGCATGTTGCCGCCAGTTGGGGCTGGGTTTTGGACCTGGCCGTCGCTGTGGAGGAGGTTAGTGAATTGTGCAAGATGGGGATGAGGCTCTGTGACGTACGGTATTTGTTCAATTGGCTTGCCAGTTGGGGCTGGGTTTTGGACTTGGCCGTCTCTGAGAAGGGAGTCAGTACGATGCGATTCAGTGACTAGTGTTGCGGAGACAAACGGTATTTGTTCGATTGGATTGCCTGTTGGTTTAGGTGCGACTGGAGTACCGCTGGTAGCGTCGCAATCGCATGGCTCGGTGATGGTGACTGGGACAGGAGTCTTGTCGCCGCCTTCGCAGGCTGTGCACTCCTTCACAGTGACCGTGAAGCCTTGTGGCACGTGGCTTGGACCTGGAGTCCAGGTTGGAGTCTCCTCTTCGCAGCTCTCGGTAACCGTGTATGTGACTGGCACGGTACCGGTCGGGCAAAGTGAGAGGTAGGTGGTGGTGTAGACAGTGGTGTGGCCTGGCTTCTTCGTTGTTGGCTTTGGAGTCTCGTGTTCACACTCTGGGCAGTAAGTCACAGTAATGCCATTTGTGACTGTGATCATCGTTGCGATGTCGCTAGTCGGGCAGTCGTCGTATGTGACGGTGGTGTATGAGACTGGAGGGGTGACAGCAGGTGTACCGTCGTAAGTTGGAGCTGACTCCTGTGCATATGCGCCGGCAATGGCCAGTGCGGCCGCCGTTTGTGCTCTGACCTTCATTTTGAACGAAGGGGTGTGCTGTGTAGAAAATTAGGGAATTAGTCGCGTAAACGCTGACTATGCGATCAAAGATCTGCTCAACGAGAGTCGCGAATTCGTACGTAGAGCGAGTGACGGTAAGACGAGCGAGCGACTGTGGTTAGAGAAAGCAAATGCTTTGCAGATCAGAACGAGTGATGATCTACCGGAAGCAGTAATTAGTAGGTGAAAGGACGAAAACAACCTGGTCAACATGGAGGTATGCGGCCTTATACTTGGGCAACCGTTCGCGGGTGTGTGTTGATACGGAATGCATTCCTGAGGAGATTGCCGACCGATCAGCACGACATTCCTGTCTCCGCATACAAACAACCAGAGGAGGCTAGAATCTAGCAACGAGACGTGAAGCGAAATGAATTGGCAGCCAGACTTCGTGTACTTGGTCCGTACTGTCGCGTTTGTAGTGCTACCGATCAAGAAATGTTGCAAGCTCAAAAAATCCACATCTCTCCGTCGCTCTTACGCTCGGAGATTTGCAGTGAAATTCCTCTCTTGGCTGTCGAGAGCGATCATGATTCGGTGACAAGGCATGAAGGCTCGCGATGCAGCGTCTCACCTCACGCTCTGATAATCCCGATGTTAGTGCTCTCAGTGCTAAGTGCAACCAAACGAAGCGAGCTTTGCGTCCTGCCAAATCCAGCGATATTGCCAAAGCACACCAAGATTTCCGTATGGCTGTTGATGGTCATGACAGCGCTTCACTGAAGAACGCCTCGCTCTCGCCTTCTGAGAGATCGAGGCCAAAGTAGGATTGATGATTGGACCGATTTGTCAGTCACAGCTCCTCATCATACATTACAAGTCGACTGAATACAGAGCAGAAGAGCTGCCTTCCCTTCGCCTTCACTGGGAACACGCGCGCAGGCCAGTTCATCTTGAGATTATTCGAGTGGCTAGAGTCTTAGGTTTCGTGTTGGAACGCATGCCACGTGCAGTGTGATCAGAATCGCGTGTATCGTACTCGTACGGTCGATCAATGAGAACCCAGTTGTCCGGCAAGTCTCGGTTCGGCTGCGATATGATGACTTGCCGCGTGCCTTCGATTGAGATGATGTTTTCGTCGAGCTCCTGGGAGGAACGCAAGTTGAACGCGCTAGTGTCCCAAAGAGGTCTAGAGTGCCAAGTTCCATCACAGTCACGTGACTGAGTATCACCGATGAAGCTTGTCAGTGTTCCTCTTGCTCGGCCAGACTTCAATCACTCATCGCTCGGACGCGAACCACTTTCTCCTGGGTTACGCTCATCGTCGACGCGTCTTCGAGTACGGCACCAGCCTGACTGGACATTTGACCACGTCATCGACTTCTTTCCGAAGGCTGCCGAGTTCCCAAGATGTTGTGGTGTGCTAAGATGTCCTGGTATCCTTCCCAGTCTGCTGTCCATCGTCTATCGCCGAAAGACGATCTGAATAAGATAGGAGAAGTATAATCCTGAAAATTTGCGGAACCGATGGAACTGTTCGTGTTCTATTCACGCCCTAACGCTAATCTTGGTATATCCCAAATGTGCTTTCATCGACGTCCACAATCTACAAGTTGACTGCAGTGCGGAACTTCGTGCCCGCGTATACAGCATTGCTGCCGAGCTCCTCCTCGATACGGAGGATCTGGTTGAGCTTGGCGAGACGCTCCGAACGGGCTGGAGCACCGGTCTTGATCTCTCCGGCGCGCAGACCAACAGCGATGTCAGCAATAGTGACATCTTCGGTCTCACCTGAACGGTGGGAAACCATGACACCCCAGCCGGCAGCATAGGCGTCCTTGGCGGCCTGGATGGCCTCGGTGATAGTACCGATCTGGTTGACCTTGAGGAGAAGAGCGTTGCAAGCCTTGGTCTCGATGGCCTTCTTGATGAAAGTTGGGTTGGTGACAGTCAAGTCGTCACCGACGATTTGGAAGTCGCTGTTCTTGTAGAAGTAGCTCCAGGCCTCCCAGTCATCCTCGGCGAATGGGTCCTCGATGGAAACGATTGGGTACTTCTTGGCGAGCTCGCGGTATCTAAAGCAAGGTCAGCAAACCTTTCATTGCGGAACACTTCGCGCACATAGGCAGAATTGCGCGGTGGGGGAAGTGGCCGCCATTACAGCCCTTCCGCATCGGATGAGAGGGTGACGTACTGGTCTGCGAGCTGCTCGTATGTAACCCACTTGGTTGGGTCGCTGTCTGGGTTCTTGAAGTCGAGGTCGTACTTCTTCTCCTCTGTCTTGTAGAACTCGGAAGAAGCAACATCCATGGCAATCTTGATCTTGCCAGTGTAGCCAGTCTGCTCGATGGCATCGGTAATCAGGGTGAGAGCCTCATCGGCGGTCTGAATATCTGGTGCAACACCACCCTCGTCACCAACGTTGCCTGCGGACTGGCCGTACTTCTTCTTGGCGAGAGACTTGAGCTTCTGGTAGACCTCAGCGCCCTGCTGCATGGCCTCGGTAAAGGTGGCGGCTTCGCTGGAAAGTTGTTAGCTCGGGAAAATTCGGAAGACGCACATGCTTGCAGCACATGTGGCAGACACTGCTCGTGGCATGCCCAACGAATACAGATCGGACGCACCTTGGGACGATCATGAATTCCTGGAAGGCAAGGCGGCCACCGGCGTGGGAGCCTCCGTTGAGAACGTTCATGAATGGAACTGGGAGGACGTATGGCTTCTTGGTGCCAGCGAGATCGCTGATGTGTGCGTAGAGTGGGACACGCTTCTCAGCTGCAGCAGCCTTGGCCACGGCCATGGAGACACCAAGAATGGCATTGGCGCCGAGAGTGGTCTTGTTTGGTGTGCCATCGAGCTCGTTGAGGAACTTGTCGACTGCGGACTGGTCCTTGACGTCCAAGTTCTTCTTGATGAGGGCAGGAGCGATGGTCTCGTTCACGTTGGCGACGGCTTTGGTGACACCTGCGTCTGTTCAGCTGTGTTTTCTTGTTGTGCAACATCCGCTCCGCTCTTACCCTTGCCGCCCCAAGCCTTTCCGCCATCGCGAAGTTCGCAAGCCTCATGGGAGCCAGTCGATGCACCGGAAGGAACGATGGCTCGGTGGAGGCCGGTCTCGGTGACGATATCAACCTCGACGGTTGGGTTACCGCGCGAGTCGTAGACAGATCGTGCGTGGATCTTGGAGATACCCATTTTGCTGTAGCAGGATGTTGTTAGTCGGAAGTTTCTTAATATAGAAGTGAATTTTGTATCGTGTGGATAGTCAGGATGCAAGCCCAGCTTGGAGAGGCACTCTGATGGCCATATGCACCAGCATTGACCGCCTTTCCCAGACACATCCGTCGGTAGGAGATGACAGCTCTGCAGGACCAATGACCAACGCAATGGTAAGGCGGAGATGGGATGTTTTGTGCTTGATACAAATGCCTGCAAACTTACCTGATGTCCCTCGATATTGCTTCAGTTATTGTGTAATGTCAATGGTTTTGGGAAGAGAGTGTGATGACGAGAGGTCAAGGTTGTTCGCAGAGCGACAAAAAATAATGCGTCGTTTGGCGGGGGGCTCAACAGCCCACCTTCTCTCAAGCTCACCAAAACGAGCCAGGCTTGCAGGGGCTGCTGTCTCGGTCCTCTCGGAGCAAAGAGGAAAGGGCCGACTTTGCATGCCTCACATCTCAGGCTCGGCGGGCGGCAGGCGGAAGCTCGGGACGAAGCGAAGCCAGCCAGCCAGCGCCGATGATGCGCGGTCGCCGTCGCCGACGTTTCTGCCTCAGTTGAGCTCTCACATGCTGTTGCTCGCTGCACAAACATCGACATCCAACCACTCCGTCTCGCCCATTTTCGCATCGCCCACGAATATCCCATACCATACGAGCGCTCTACTGTACAATTCTCTCAAGGTCACCTTTACCACACATCCATCACACTACCGAGGCGATGGCCAGCGACCCAGAGAGAGAGCACGCGCTGGAGGAGTACAAGACCAAGTTGCTGGAGTCGCGAGAATGGGAGGCAAAGTTGAAGGCGCTGCGATTAGAGATTAAGGGTCTGCAGCACGACTTCGACGTATCAGAAGACAACATCAAGGCGCTGCAGAGTGTCGGGCAGATCATCGGAGAGGTGTTGAAACAGCTGGACGAGGAGAGATGTGAGTGGCATCTGGAGGATCGATGAAGGGTGTTATGCTGACCACTCTGGACACAGTCATCGTAAAGGCATCATCAGGTCCACGATATGTTGTCGGCTGCCGGTCAAAGGTCGACAAGGTCAAGCTAAAGCAAGGCACGCGAGTCGCCCTCGATATGACCACACTCACAATTATGCGCATGCTGCCGCGCGAGGTAGATCCGCTCGTATACAACATGTCGCTGGAAGATCCAGGACAGGTATCTTTCGCAGGTATTGGAGGACTAAATGACCAGATTCGAGAACTGCGAGAAGTCATTGAGCTCCCGCTCAAGAACCCAGAGCTCTTCATGCGGGTTGGCATCAAGCCGCCCAAGGGAGTACTGCTATATGGTCCCCCAGGTACTGGCAAGACGCTGCTTGCGAGAGCAGTCGCCAGTTCGCTGGAGACCAACTTCTTGAAGGGTAAGACATCTACCAAGCCTGGCGCTGTATCCCTGCTGACTTCATCTTCTAGTCGTTTCGTCCGCCATCGTCGACAAGTACATCGGAGAGTCCGCGCGTCTCATTCGGGAGATGTTCGGATACGCGAAAGAACACGAGCCTTGCATCATCTTCATGGACGAAATCGATGCCATTGGTGGTCGTCGATTCTCGGAAGGCACCTCGGCCGACCGTGAGATCCAGCGAACGTTGATGGAGCTCCTCAATCAACTCGACGGTTTCGACTACCTCGGCAAAACCAAGATCATCATGGCCACCAACCGACCCGACACCCTCGACCCAGCGCTTCTCCGAGCTGGACGATTAGACCGAAAGATCGAGATTCCTCTACCAAACGAGGCGGGACGGTTGGAAGTGCTCAAGATTCATGCATCGAGCGTACAAAAGGAGGGCGAGATTGACTTTGAGAGCGTGGTGAAGATGAGTGATGGTCTCAACGGAGCAGATCTGCGGAATGTGGTTACAGAAGCTGGATTGTTCGCAATCAAGGACTATCGAGAGTCAGTCAACCAAGATGACTTCAACAAGGCTGTGAGAAAGGTGGCAGAGAGCAAGAAGCTCGAAGGAAAGCTTGAGTACCAGAAGCTTTAGGGTGATGTATAATATGCTACTGCATTCATGATGAGCATGGCGTTACGCGGGCATGGCATAGCTGACGAAGGCAAAGTGCTGCGCGCTCAGCTGCTGTACAACAATACTTTAGACGGCGTGGATATATTGAACTTCTCTTCGCCACGACTTGTCAGCATTCCGATCAGACTATCAATTCCATACCGTTCGCATTTGGCATGAATGGAAACTTTCCGATCACCCGACTCTGTTGCAGACCACGCCATGTAAACTGACGATTCTCACGCCAAGTCAAACCATCCTCTCTCATAAGTATCCCAATCCGAAGGCAACATCTCCCCCGTCGTCCACTCATCCAACACCCATCCAACATCATCATGCCCACCCCGAACGGATGAGGCTACAAATTTCCCATAATCTTCTGGCCATGTAAGACCTCTATCTCTATAATCCATTTCGCGCCAAGGTCCTAGTTTCTCGGCGACTTTTCCGTGTGGATCACTTGCTGCCAAAGCTCTCATCTCGTCGGTGACTTGGGCCCAATATCCTGCTTCTTGGATATTTTCTACGTGGAACGCTTTGAGGTAGCCGCATTGGGTTGATGCTATTCGGCAGTATCGCGGTTCTCTGGTGGTGCATTTGATCGGTGAGCGACCTCGAATCTTCTATCGCGAGAGACAATGGCCCGGTCGATTTCTAGCATGCGGTCCAACATTTTGGCTTGCCACGCTGCACAGAGACGCATCTCACGCGTGGCGAGGATGAATCTTGCTCACTCCTGGTACGCCAGCTCGCTGGCTCTCTCCCAACCTTTCTGTCTCCGTAGAATTGTGACATCCGGCAACCACCTCAGTTCGATCTCCCCAAAGTAATTAGCATCTTCCACCGTCCTCACGAAGCCCACAGACTCGAAGAGCTTGATCGAGCCGATATTCGTCTGATTGATCTTCACACGCAGGAATGAGAGCTTTGCCGTGGATGTCGTAATTGTGTCGGGAGTCTGCGTCTCTGTTCCATCTTGCTCTTTCGGTTGTTGAAAATGCGCATATTCTGCCGCGATACTCGACCAGTTGGCAAGTATGTATTCCAGAAATGTGAGCAAAGCCGCTCTTCCATGCCCTTGACGTCGCAAGTCTTTTCGTGCTACCATGAGCTCAACCTCCCCGACGACATTGCCGCCTACATTCGAGACATCCTCCTTCATCTCCTCCGAATCTGGTGGAAACAAGAAAAGATTAATGTCGCCTGCCATGCGATCCGGAGAGTCATCAGCTTTGGCACTCACTGTCCGCGAGACAGGCGCCTCACCATCGGAGACTGGTTTGATGGCTGGGGCAGGCATAGGGAGGCAAATAATAAACGTAAGCTTGTCATGATCTGTTCGCCATGACTTCTGCATGGCATATTCTTCTTCAAGACTCAAAGGCTCAGAGGCTGTTGCTTCCTGGAGTTCTTTATCTTGCATCCATTCATGATAGGCCGGAACATGATGCTCGCTATACGGCACCAGCAGAATCTGAGCTGTTGAGAGCGCTGTGCAGGGTCAGTGCTATATCTTCGAGCGTGGGTCGGTACATACCAGAATGCTCATTGACCCTCATCGTGCGTCAAACCGAATGCAGAATGCTAATGTGAAAATGCTAATCACAAGTCACCAAGACTTCTGGTACATTAGACAGACCAACATGACATTGGACCGCTAGCCTGCAAGGACTTCGCACAAGCCTCCTACCTGTTCTTTATCGGCCTCATCAAGTGTCTCACGCTCGGTCTATACGCTTTGCAATCGGCCTTTTGTCGTGTCGAGGAAGCAAGGACAAGGGAGCGTGGAGAGTTTGAGTTTCAATGTGGTTTGATATCGGACACAGGTCCGCCACCAATCAAAGAGCAGTAGGGACGATGGTATGGGCGCATTCTGTCAATCTCGTCTCACATCTCGATCTTATCGTCTTGAACATCCACATTCGCTACAGACGCAGCAATCTAGGCCGCTTGCCCCCGACATGGCCGTCAGGAAGCCATTCAAAGTCCTGGTCACGGGCGGCAGTGGCTTCTTGGGCAGCGCTATCATCAAGGCACTACTCGAGCGTCATCCGGAATGGCAATTGACGGTTTTGGATATCCTTCCACCTGAGAACACCATACAGAGTCGAGGGGTTGGGTACAAATTCGCAGATGTTACATCTTTCGAGAGCGCCAAACATGCACTCTCAGACTATACGCCAGACTTGGTGATGCATACTGCTGGAATTGTACCCGCTCGAAACCTCCGATATAGCCAAGATAGTAAGCAGTGGGAAAAGGTCAAGGCAATCAACTACTATGGAACTGTCAACGTACTAGATGCCGCCATGCAAAGCGGATGTCGGCGCTTTGTATACACCAGCAGCTGTACTGTGATAATTGACGATTTGGACCACGACTACTTCAACATGAAGGAAGACATCCCGATCGGCTTCGCAACGCTTCACTACGGCAAATCGAAGGGCATGGCAGAGCAGTATGTCCTGTCCAAGCGCCACGCCGAACAAGGACTGAAGGCCTGCGCCTTGAGGCCGTGCACCATCATTGGGCCTGGAGATGTGGCTGTCATCAGCCTGATCCACGATCTAATGTTGAAGATGGAGAGCCACTTCGTCGTAGGAAGCGGAGATACGCTATTCGACTTTGTCTACCTGGACAATGTTGTAGACGCTCACGTACTGGCCATCGAAAACATGCTCTCCACAGAGACCGCGGCCGGACATGCTTTCTTCATTTCCAATCAGCAGCCGGTGTACTTCTGGGACTTCTTTCTGGCTATCTGGGCCGAGTTCGATCACGTTCCGCGCTTTCGTGTGTTCATACCAGCATGGCTTGCCTGGATTGTTGCGCTGATCATGGAGCTCGTTACTTTCTTCACTGGTGCTTCGCCAACGATAAATACTGGAAGCGTCAAAGACGCCATACGCACGCAGTACTCCGACAACTCAAAAGCACGAGCTATCCTTGGATATGTGCCCAAGATCAGTCTATCAGAAGGTGTCAGGAGGAGCTGCGATGACTACAAGAAGTACCTAGCTGAGGTCAAGGACGCCAAGCGTGAACCCAAGAAGGCTTTCTAATATGATACCATGTCGTGCGAGACCTAATCAAATCTTCACCACAATCTTTCCAGGCGCTGACAAAGTCTTGAGCGCCTCAAGCGCTTTATCTGCCTGCTCGAAATCGAAAGTCGCTGCCACCGGTGGGTGAATCTGGTGCTCATAAAGAAACCCTGCCAGCTCCTGAGAGAGTTCTCTGCTACCAGCACCGAGCACTGGTTGTACTGGAGCTATGTTAGTACAATATCGGACGGATTCGGATCTCGACTTACGAGTCTTGGCGCCAAAAAGCAGAGAGTTAGTGATCGCCACAGCCTTATCTGAATTACCTAGCACGCCCAGAAGCCTGATCAACCCGGCTTGACGAGTCGCTTTGATGGCTTGCTCGATGCTTGCTGCGCCAACGACATCAGCCACAATATCTACTCCTTTGCCATCTGTGACCTTCAGCACCTCGTCGGCCCAGTACGGAGTCTTGCGATAATTTATGAGGTGTTTTGCACCTAGCTTCTTGGCAACCTGGAGTTTGTCATCGGACGAGGAGGTCGCAATGACAGTCGCACCTTTTGCTGCAGCGATCTAGCATACGTCAGCAATGGCGGATGTTTGAGCCAGAATCGATGTACCTGAATTGCATAACAGCTAACACCACCTGTGCCTTGGGTGAGCACCGTCATTCCTGGCTCGAGCTTGAACAGCCCGTGCATGAGCGCATTCCAGGCCGTTGCACCAGCTGTGTACAATGTGCTCGACTCCTCGATCGAGAGACCATCAGGAGCTTTGATCAATCTGTCATCGTCCCAAACGAGATATCGACGAAGAGTGCCATCCATTGCGCCACCGCCCTGTTTGCCAACGAGTAAGGACAAGAAACAAGTACTGCTTTCTCGATGTACGCACCATTGTCTTGAAAATGTCAAAGTCTCGCGGATCAAAACCTGACACCCACGTATTTGGCTGAATAATCACACGATCTCCTGCTTTCCACTCTGACCCCGGTCCCGCCTCTTCAACGACGCCAGCACCATCACTACAGGGGATCAAGTCTTGTTTGGCCATAGCGGGATAGCTTGGGTCGTGGTTCATCACCAGAATGTCACGATAGTTGAGGGACGCTGCTTGCAAACGAATGAGTGCCTGCTTTGGGCCTGGCTTCGGAGTGTCCAGGTCTACGAGCGTCACCTCCCCCGGCGCCGTGATCTTCCAAGCCTGGTTCGCCATTATGTCAACCAATTGCACTGGTTGGAGAGCTGTGAAGGTGTAGTAGAGTACTTCGTGTGACAGCTTCTGTCCGGGCCATTCGTAGCTTTATACCATCTGAGTTTCAGCGAAGGTCGCAGCTTGATGAAGAGGCTTTACTACATTGACTGCCAGGCATTGCGCCATACTTCGCACGATTGGTCATCTTGCCAGCATCAGCGCCTGTCGTGGCGCTGTAGAACCGTCTACCAGGAGCGCAATTGACCAATACGACGGATCGATTGTAAGTCACAGTGGGACTGTCGGCCGGCTTAGAAGAGGTTCTTTGCAGTAGCGTTTGGCTCTGCAGGAATGTGGCAGTTTCGGCTTAGAAATGCAAGGAGGATTGTGTTTTCAGTCCGGCCGATCTTGTCCGCTTCTTAGGGTTGAGTCGGTGTTAGGGTAAACTTGGCGGCGACGACAATACCGATTTTCGGCTGGGACCTTGAAAATGCTTGTCTAGATTGCCCCGATTCTTTCAATAATGCTGGTGCCATTCTAATGTCCAAAAATGCAGCCATGGTGTCGATATGAAGCCGACCAGGTTTTCGACGCTGCAAACAATACTTGGGCAGAAAGTCCGAGCACAACTCTTTCAGTTGGCGCCTTCACCGTCCGGGACGCAACGAACAGTACATGCAGACGAATATTGTCAGAGACGTCAATGCTAATCATCGATGAAGGTGCTTCTGTCTGAGCTAACCATGGATACATTATATTTGGTTCACAAGGCTGCCACACGCAAGACAGAAAGAACCCAAACCAAACCGAACCACCTGCTGGCGGTTCCGCGCACCTCAGCTAGCGCCCGAGGAGCCGCAACCAATCACATCTGTGCATGGAGCCTCCCGAACCAAATCACGTTGCAGTCCTCAGCTTCCGCCGCAAAGAATGGTCATGACAGACTTCTGGGATCGTGCTCTCATGGTCGAACTTAGTCCCCACATCTCCAGTCGTACCAAAATTTGCAACAGGACTTCAACTGAGGACTGTGTTCGCCAACGGTTCGGACATGGCGCGGCGATTGAAGCTCTGCAATCAATATTATCCGTGGCCATCCACACTGGGCGAAAGATGCCCTAGGATCCACCATGAATATTACTCCGTCACCTTGATCGCTCGAGCTTTTGCTATATAGCCTGGCTCCTGGGCGGAAGGTGACCTGCAACTACAGAAATTCAATCACTTCGACATCGACCCCTCAGTTACAATGAAGTACCGCCGCTTTGATTATGCTCCCCTAATAAGATTGAAGTCAAAGGAACTCGACGTGCTCCCGGAGCTGTGTGGAGTTGTAGCCATAGAAGTCCAAGTCAATCCCGAAGCTTTCTCTACGGCCTCGAAAGAAGATCGACTTCCCTGGAAATGTGTCTTCGATGCAGAGGACCTCGACCAGCTGGAGATCTCGAAGCGAGTATGGAGAGACTGCAAATACCTACGCAGGATCTCCATAACAGACGGCGGTTGCCATCAAGCAGATACCGATGGTGAGAAGACCACCTGGCGCAACAATCTGAGTATGTTGGAGAACGTCTTGCAATTGCGAATCGATCTTCGAAACCACTTGCCCCATCAAGTGCCCCAGTTCGACAATCCGGAACCTTCGACACCGCTATGCAGCAAAATGCACTCCACAGCCAGGCACGACTCTTTCCAGTTTACCGCACCTCCATTGTATGCACCGGAAAGCCAGGTGAGATTTAAAGGTCTGCATCTTATGTTCCATGACACAAAACGCTGCTGACGTAGTGGAACAGGATGAAGCACTTCCACTGCAAGGCGGAGGCCAAAATCATCAGCCTGCATAGGACAGAGGCCTGCGAAGCTTTTTGAATGATTCCATCTATGCTGAAGGTGCCGAGTTGGACCATCGATGTCCATCACAATCCCTCAAAGCGCTGCTTGAGCGCACAGGAGTTTTGCGAGTCAGCTTTGCAGCTTGAGATCATTTGGCCACCTTTCCTCCGCAGCGGCTGTATAGATTCTGCGGATTCGTGCTAAAGGACTGGCGAGAGGATCCAAAGATACTTAGATGAAGACCAAACTTTGACGCGTCTTCACATTGTTCGTGATGGATTGTTAGGAATGGAATCAGAACTGCTTGGCATGCTCTGTGAGAACGGCCGAAGTTCGTGCGAGCGTTCACAACCTCCTCCTTGCCTCCCTCCCACATCGTACCTGCTTCTCTACTCTACACTCACCATTTCGCTCAAATGACACTTGGATAGACGCTTGCAGGCACAAGCACATGAAAATGCACTTGGTAAGTTGTGAAAGTGAATCGGAGCCTCTTCGGCTCCGACGGGTAGGCGCGCTGCTCCGTTTGTGTTTTGGCCTCAGACATCGAGCTTGGACTTTCTTCTATGACTCCACCACGAGCACCGCTCTAACCTAGGAACACGTCAAGATCAGTGTTCAAATCAACACGCTTCCGACTGATGGTGCAGAACACCGACACTACCCACCATGGCGCCCGCGTCAGACTCGACTCCGAAGCGGCATCTCCTGTCCCTGCCGCAAGAGTTACTGGATATTATCCTCGACTTCGCGTATCCGGCTGAAGACGAGAAGTGCTTTATAGACCGCAGGACATTCGAAAAGCAGGAGAGAGAGCGCCGACGAACGAGCCCAAACACATTTACTCCAAAGATCTTTATCCACAAGGTCAATCAGTGGATGGTGTCAAAATCATTCTTTGAGTCGGCCACCAGAGCTTGGGTCGCAAACCAGCACTTTCGTGACTATACCTTCCCTGGCCCCTACTCGGTTGCATTCGCTCGAGTCTACTTCTCGAGTAGCACAGAACCAAAATGTATTCTCGTACAGCACTGCACAAGACTCAGTGTTACCTACAACCCCGCCTATGCCGATCTCATGGAGCTGCCTAGCTTGAAGTACCTAACACTCATTGTCGATCATGAGATTTTCGAACCCTCTGAGCCGGCGTTCGCTTGGGAAGTATCGCTGTCGCGAGAACAACTTGTGAAAGTCTCCCACCAGTCTGGACTTACTGGACTCCCGAAACTGAAGCGGATCAAGCTGGTGGCCAAGAACTGCACATATGCCAGGACTGGGCGGCAAAAAGAGCAATGGGCGAGAAGTGTGGTGGCACTGGAGAGTCTCCTTCAAGAGCAACAGAAGTTCAAGGTGACACTGCAACCTGGAGCTCGAATGCCAAGGCAGAGGCTGTCTAAACAAGAGATTAAGAATGCCATCTCTGCCCGCGGCCTGGAAAATGAGGCCAGCCTCTCCTGGCTGGTTGACGATCCCGATCTTTCTTTGCCAGTCCTGGACGTCACTCTGAACTCGATCAAGCGCCTGGAGAAAGAAGATGGAAAAGCTACCTCAAAGTCTGTGGCAACAGCTTGGACGAATTCGAAGGATGTATCCAAAGACCATCCTATTCCAAGCAGTGAGGTCGACGCTCACACGAAACATGTACGCCAGGCTTCGAATACAGCAGTGGGGAGAAAACGCAAGGCGTCGGCTGGGAAGCGTGAGCGTTATGGAGGACTTGCCAGACCGGTTGTGAAGATCTTGAGCGAATCGATACTTGAGGCGCACCGGATAGTGCAGGATATGGCTACTCCGGCTTCAGACAAGACTTTAAGAGCGAGAATGGTTGCCCGCCTGTCTGGAGGCACCAGTGCGCTCGCCCGCGTTGTGAGCGGAAAAAGTCAAGAGCCATCAACAGCCGCAGCCAATGCAGGTTTTGAGCGTGTTGAGCCCCAGGAAGAAGTGCCAGTGGTCGGGCTAACGGATGGGGACGGCAAGGCTGGCGGAGCTGCGAGCATGCTTTCAGGCGAAACTCAGACTGGAGAGGAGGTCAACGTTCCAGACGGCATTACTGACGATACCTCTGAGCTCGATTTCTATATGAGCCCTGGGCCCGAGCAAGAGCCAGAGAAGGAGACACCACGCGGACCCATTGCTGGAAAGAAGCGCAATGCTGAAGAGTTCTGCACGCCCCTTCCGAAGCGTCAAGCGCTGGTCAAGTACGATCTGCTGGCGAGTGGGAAGCCTGCCAGACCATCGAGAAAGAGCACTGGCAGACTGGCACTTGAGGCCGAACAGCCAGCGTTGTCGTCAGCTGGAATGACTGCTCCACTGCCTGAGGCTATTCAGGAGTCAACACCAGCGGAGGAAATCAGCGCCTCTCTGTCTGGAGGCACGAGCAAGACCGCTCAAACCCAAGGTGAAAAGCCTGAAGGCCAGAAGAATTCGCAGAGTGATGGCCTTGAAGGCCCGAAAGAAGAATCCGAGGATGAATGGGTCACGGAGGATGAGGAGGAGTTCAGCGGATCTTCTGACATGGTTTCTGCCAGCACTCAAACCGAAGAGAAGTCTGACATGGTTTCCGCCAGCACTCAAACCGAAGAGAAGTCCAACATGGAAGCCGCCAGCACTCAGACCGAAGAGGAGTCTACCATGCCAGAGGACAGCACACAAGTCTTGTCACAAGGCACACAGACCACACCGGAGCATTGCCAGTGCCAGGTTGAGACGGTCGTCGCCAAGCTCCAGAAGCTCGAGCAAGGACTCGAGCGTCTGCTCGCATCGCACAACGAGCTTAAGCATGCTGCCAAGCCTCAGCAGGGCTTCTCCGTATTGGCCGGTCTGAGCTCGCTTCTCTGGGTTCTCGTGTGCCTCTATATTTTGCTGCAGATGGCACTGTTGAATGACCATGTCTCCTATCATATCAGCAGATTCGAGCCGGTCGTGGTGTATGGTTGATGGAGGAGGGGAAATGGAATGTGGGCGCAACGGAACGTCGAGATTCTGCATGGTATGGTATGATGAGGCACGAAAGGCATTAGCAAGTAATGGTTGGTTGAAGGAGAGATGAAGTGTACTTGGAAATGTCTGTGCCTTTGCGCTCTGTGTGAATACCTGCTGCTTCCCGCAATGGGGGCCCCGTGTACGTAATGTACCAGCTGCATGACATCTTTCACGCCCTGAGATCCTCCCTGCTTCCTGCCTCCACTCTTCACGGCTGTCATGATCCTTTTGCCTCTCCGTGGTCACGTATGAGTGGCAGAAGGAAAAGGAAGAGGTGGTGGTTGGCAGAGAGTGTCACAATGTTCCAACCCCAGCCGTGCTCTCGACTTCTTGCAGGTGCAGCGGCCCGGCCCAGCGGTCGGCAAATCCTTGATCCACGCCGCCTGCGTTTTTAGAGTGCAACGGCAACGTAAATGAGACGGACACGTGAGCGGAGCGGAGGCGCACGCGCGTGAACGAGTCTCGTGGACGAACGCCGAAATCTCACAGACATCCCTTTTCTCGCCAAGTTTAAGATCGGGGAGCACGAGATCGAGATTAGTGTGTTGGAAAGACTCGGTGGCAGTGGCAGCGGGTGGTCAGGGTGTGTGTGTAACCTTGAACGCCACGCCTCAGCACGCGCGGGATCAATAATCATCACCTGCATTGCCTGGCAGAGTTCGGCCAGGGTCTGGTCTGCGACAGTGCCGCTCCAAATACTACAGCACCCTCGCAACACCAAGCACCGTCCGGCCTTCAGGGACTGCACACCGCACACCGAATACCCGGCCTCTACCAACACCACCACCAGTTACACCCGGCCCCCATCCCCATCCCCAGCGCATACAGAACACACCAGCATACATCCTCTCCACACCCGCCGCGTTGCGACCACCACGAGCGAGGCCTCGGTGCCTCCGCGCTAGGCAGCATGGGCAACATTTCCAGTAGACCCGACGAGGGTCAAATCTGCCTGAGCGACCAGTCGAGATGTTGGTCGCATCCTATACACATATCTCCCTCGGATGTGCTAATCCGTGCGCAGTCACGATTGCGAGCATAACCATTACCAACTCTCGGGGCCAGACACTGCTCAGAGTGGGCCCAAATGCCTATCCTGCCACCAGATATGCTGCTCAGCGAGATACTGGCGACGACTCCCCCATCGAATTCGTACAGGTGAATAATCGCTCCCATTCAGGAGGATGTTGCTGAGGCCTGGCTAACGTACCGTGCGTTACAGGACCCCGAGAGCATCGCCAGCGGCCTCCCACCATCCTTCCTCGTACGCCTCTCGAATAGCGACGATATAAATTTCCATTTCACCTTCATCATTCGACAGCAGACTCAGTCCACCAGCCCCCCAACCAGCAATGCCGCACCTTCCATGATAGACACCCAACTTTCCGGCCTGACCTACGTCTTCGCATCCACGCCAAAAGAGGTAGAGCACCTGGTCGTGCGTGAATTCCATTCAGATCCGAACTTGCACAAAAATCCCAATGTGCAGCTAATAGGCGACTACTCGACCGGTGGCAATGCCAGTGCACAATTCACGTGGACGTGGAAATGGAGACCGCCGAAGCCGTCAGAAGATCGGGGTGGAGGATGGCGCAACAGCTGCAGTTTCGTGGAGTATAACCAGCGCTCACATAAGCTGGAAACGCTTGCAAGCTTTAGCTTTTGGGTGCAAAACACAAATAAGCTTATGAGCATTGCACCCAAGTCTCCCCGACTGGATGTACCACAAAGACTACGCATTCCTTCGACACAGTCAATTGAATCTCGCGTCAGCAATGTCAGCGACTCCGAGGGCGAAGGCAGCTATAAAGATTATAAAGAGCCACAGTCGCCTGGATTCGAGCCCATTCCGGAGAATGGTCTTGGTCTGGTGCCCACATTGACAAATACGGCAGCACCTGTGAAAGTGGACATTGCGACATGCAAACCCGGCGAGGACCCGTCGCTTAACGAGGATGGGCCGCTTTTCCGAGCGACGATGAGATCTTTGGAGCAGAAGACCGGACACATGAGATTGCGCATGAAGAAGGTGCTGAAGACGGCTGAAGCTGCCGTGCAAGCACAGCAAGCATGCAATCAAGCCGTTTTCGACTTTACACAAGCTTTGAAAGAAGCATCCACATCGAATGCGAATGCCGTTCAGCCGGCGCTTGACCACTACTTTGAGAAGATCGCCAAGGAAATCTTGTCGTACGAGAAGCAAAACACCACCAACTTGCAGCGACTTATCATTGACCCGGTGAGCAAGCTGTATAATTTCGAGCTCAAGCGTGCAGATGACAAGAAGCGGGAGTTCGACGAAGAAAGCAAAGAATACTACGCCTATGTTGGCAAGTATCTTGGCCAGCGATCCGAGTCGCTGAAAGAGAAGAAGGTCAAGCAGAGTGACGAAAAGTACCAGACGAAGCGAAGGACGTTTGAGCTCAAGCGGTTTGACTACTCCAGCTTCATGCACGACTTGCATGGCGGTCGCAAAGATCAGGAAGTACTTTCACATTTGACGAAATATGCAGACGCGCAGACGAAGAGCTATCTGGCCACTGCGAAGAAGGTGGAGGAGATGGTTCCTCAACTCGATGCACTCGTTGCAGAAGTCAAGATCGCGGATCAGGACTTCCAACTTCAACGGAAGGAGCGAGAAGAGAAACGTCGCATGCTGGAAACCAGCAGCAAGCTTGTCAGCGAAGACGGCAACGTTGTGCCACCTGGCGGCCTGTCCTACTCGACATCCGTGAGAGACTCCATGCGACCGGGCGAGTATGCATCACATCGGACGGGCAGCATTAGTGGAGCCGTGATGCTGTCGCAATCACCTCCCAACGCGAGCGACCTTGCTGTCCAGGCACCGGCAAATGGCATGCTCAACACGCCTGCAAGCAATGCCGCAGCGTTGTCATCGAGTCCGAACAGCAGGTTCAAGGGCATTCGAGATCTTGAAGACAACAGCGCTGCAAGTCTCAATGGCGGGCCTCAACGGAAAGAGGGTCTCCTGTGGGCGCTGAGCAGGCCTGGCAGTCACGTCGACCCGAAAGGCCTGACGAAACCAGGATGGCACAAATACTGGATTGTGCTGGATCAGGGCAGGCTCTCAGAATACGTCAACTGGAAGGAGAAGCTGGACCTGCACATGGATCCGATCGACTTGCGCATGGCGTCTGTGCGAGAAGCACGTAGCTCCGATCGGCGTTTCTGCTTCGAAGTCATCACGCCCCAATTCACGCGAGTGTACCAGGCGCCTTCCGAGGACGACATGCGATCATGGATTGCTGCCATCAACAACGCCTTGCAAAGCGCTTTCGAGAATAAGAATCAGCAGCTGCCCGCATCGCCATCGTCTTCGCAGACATCGCATCGAAAGGACATCGCGGCCGTGCTGACCGGCAAAAGCTCGTCATTCTCTGGCCACAGACAGGTGTCGAATCCTAACAGGAACGCAGCTGCCTCTGCTGTCAACAGACATGCCACAACCGGTGACAAGCCCGCTTACAAACGCGCAGAAAGCGAGCCTGAGCCATCCGCTCTTCTGCAGCGCATACGAAATGCCGATGAAGGCAACAAGGTCTGCGCTGACTGTGGCTCTGATGCCAAGGTGGACTGGTGCTCAATCAATCTTGGCGTCTTACTATGCATTGAATGCAGTGGCATACATCGATCGCTCGGCACACATATCTCCAAGGTCAGATCGCTCACACTGGACACGCAAGTCTTCACCCAAGATATCATCGAAGTTCTACTCTTGATTGGCAACCGCGTGAGCAACATGATCTGGGAAGCTAAGCTCGACCGATTTTTGAAGCCGTCGCCGCATTCGACAAGAGAACAGCGCCTCCACTTTATCACTGCTAAATATAGCGACCGTACCTATGTACAACCTCCAGCTTCGGGCCAGGCACCGGACGATCATCTGCTTACTAGTATCAAGAAGAATGACATTCAGAACGTGCTGCATGCTCTGGCACTGAAAGCGAACCCGAATGCGCATGACCGCGTGAGGTCGACACATGCTCTTTATCTTGCCTTGGCTGCAGCAGATCCGGCGTCACCTGCAAGTCTACCGTCGCATTCCTCCTCGCTTTCCGCATCCATCCGGACTCCTCCTGGCTCGGCGCCGATAGCGCCTCCACGACCAAACAGCCCACGCCCACGAAAGGCCTTTGCTGTTGCTGAGCTGCTTCTGCAGAATGGATCAGACATCCCAACTGAGCCGTCGCCGTTCCCACTTTCCGACGCAGCCAAGATGTACATTGAACTCAAGAATGAGCTGAAGCTTGGCAAGTCCCATGTCAGTGCTGGCAAGGAGGCCAATGGCGACAACCTCACCGCTCTGCCAAGTTCGATACAGGGGTCCTCGCCAGGCAGCCTCTCCCGCGATCGCGAAAAGCTCCTGAACCGGAATAGCACAGGGAGACCCAAAAGCAGAACATCAGACGTTATGGAAGGATTAGTAAGGAAATAGAATTTCGAAGCATCGCCACAGGAAGAAGAACTTGACCTTTTACCGGACATCAATGACCTCCTAGGACGTAGACGCTCGCATTCCCACCGAGATCGTGATCGCGATGGCCTCCTCACCGGCCGCGCAAGCAACCGATCAGGAATCAAGACCATTCGTGAGCGATCCATCAATCGCTCCCGCTCTTTCAAAGCCCGAGCCAAAGCGCATTGGCAGAATCTAGACGGCGCGTTTGAGATCCTCGCCGGCGAGGGTCGTGGTGAGGTTTTCGGCGTTGTCAAATGGCAACCGCTTATGACGGGGATTAAAACGAGGATTTCTAGCCTCAGGAAGAGAGCGAATACAGCTCCTCCGAGGTTTTCGCTTGAGATCGCTTGAGTGAGTGTGTGTGTGTATTTACATCTATTGAGTACGACGCTTATGCGATGTGCGATATTGCTTCGTGGATCGGATTGTGAAGGATTGTGAAGGATTGTGATGGATAGGGTGGGATGGGATGAGATGATAATGCATAATGGATAATGATCCGTGAGAGAGTTAGCGAGGAAAGAAGAAATTTCATGATTCTTTGTGATGAGGCTACGCATATACTTAGGCTCTTTTATGCCTTTTAACGCTACCCTGCAATGCAAGTGTGTCTAAGAACTTTGATGAGCACAGCTACCTAGGAACACTGGAATAGAGCGATGCTGATTTAGCAGATTGGAGCACTAATCCAGTTGACTAGGAAGTAGGTATAGCGTTGATCAACTCTACCTACTATGTGTTGTTCATGGAGGGTGCTGAGGATGCCAGGGAGGAAAAGTGCGAGGCAGGGCTGATATTCAAGGGTGGGTGGGTAGATCATGTGCTTCGGAATCGCAAGCCTGGGGATTTGTCAAGCACTTTCATCTGCTTAAACGTACGAAGATTGGCGAGAGGTAATTGAAGAGAGCATTCCGCGCCTACCCTACCCTACTTAGCAGAGGGCAAGTCATCGCGACATCAAGAAATCTTCATCAGGATTGTCATAGCATTGTCACATCGACTACTTACTTCTCTACATACAACTCGCAGCCCTTCTCCAACCTTAAAAATTCCCTCCTTCCATCCTCTCACCCCCTCAACGGCAAAACATGCTGCACCAGCGCCCCCTGCCTACAAAGCGGACACATCGGCTGCTCCCTCAACCAATCCGTCACACAACTCCAGCAAAAAACATGTCCGCACGGTGTCGTCGCAGGATCCTTCATCGCTTCTAAACACAACGTGCATTTCCTCTGCTGTCCACTTTCAATCCATTGCATGACTTCCGAGTTTTTGAGATCGTAGCGATGTCCTGACGCCACGGAAGGGGTATGTGTGACTTGTGAGATTCGGCGTTTGATCACTTCTGGATCCAGACCTTGCGGGTTTGTTTCGAAGAGGAGGGGGGTCGTGAAGTGATTTTCTGTCTCAAACTCAATGCCTTCATCCGTCCCACCGCCTCCTCCTTCTCGAAGAAGAAGACCAGAATTCTGCACATTCACATCCGCCGCCGCCGCCGCCGTCGTCGTCGTCGTCTGGATATTCTGATACGTACTCCTCAAATGCAAATACCCCTGCACAACCATCTGCACAACCAAAAGAACCCCCAGAACTTCATACCCCGCCCTCTGATCCCCTTCCGTCAATTTTCGCGTAAACACATATCTCAACCCAAACACCCGTTTGCTGAGTTGGTAATACGCTCCCGTGAAATAAAACACCGCCAAACTCACCGCATACACGGGTGCGGGCGAAGTCAGAGAGTCGAGATTTTTGAGAATGTATTCTTGAAATTTATGAACGTTTTTCGGCGGTGGATTTTTGTTGGTGCGGTTTTCTGCTGGATTTGAGAGACGACGTCTGTTGTGATGATGGGCTGCTTTTTTTAACGTTTTTTCTAGTTTGGCACGTAAACGTTTTCGGAATGCGGGTAGGAAGGTTTTTAAGGCGTAGGGGAGAAGGATGCTGGAGAGGATGTATCCGGATCTTCGAGGTAGGGAGGGGAGGCGATTTGTGTCGTCTTCGATTTGCACTATGTCGCAGTATTCTTCGCCCAGGGTTCTGTTGCCGATGAAGGTGGTTAGGGATAGGTAGAGGAGTTCGGTGAAGATTGTGGCTTCGTTGGACCATTTGTGTTCGGAGCGGGTTCCGTATAGGGAGCGGATTACGGAGGAGAGTTGGGTTAGGAGGATGGATTGGAAGTAGGCGTCTTTTTGGTTTGAGCGGATTATGTCTGGTGCGGCGGCCCAGGGATAGTTGAAGGTTTTGCTTGGATCTTCGCGTAGAGGTTTGTTGCTGTCCTGGACGTGATCTGACATCTTGTCTGATAGAGTCCCAGAGGTTAGAGAGATGTCGTGGTGGTGGAAGTCGGGAAGATGTTTAGCAGAGAGAAGCCTCGGTCGTCGGCAGGAGCCGATGGCCTGTGCATGGGCATGGGCATGGGTCCAAAGTCAATAGAAAGCAACGACGACCTCACCTCTGCAAGTAAGCTTCTCGAAGTGAATACCAGCAGCATCTCTCTGTGCCTGAGCCCTTGATGATGACTGTACATACGTATTCGCGTTCCGCCTCTTTGACTCTCAATGGACAGACGTAGCCTCCGATCCTGTGCCACGCCGCCAAGGCGCCATCAGCATAGCCGCATCCCATTCGCAGACTCTGCAGAATCCGGCCAACTCTTCGTTTCACCTCTCCCAGCCAGCCAGCCAGCGCAGAACTGCGGACGTCATCAGCAAACGAGACGTCATCCCTATGTAGGTCCGGTACGCCACACAAGTCGGACACAAAGACATTGCTATTCTCGGCTTCGTCAGGTCCACAAGACGCGTCGTTCTTTCCTTGGTCTATATAGGCAGCATTCCATCATCCCTTGCTCTTGATCTTTCCCTCACACACACCACTCACCAAGGCACCTTCAACCATGCAGCTCAAACAAACTCTTCTCCTCCCAGCATCACTCGCCCTGGTTGCGGCCCAAGACGACGTGATCAGTTCCATCGTCAGCGACGTAACCAGCGCGATCGACAGCATAGCTTCAGACGTAACATCTGCAGGTGGTGATGTGAGTATACCCGTGACAGCACGGTCGGCCTCTAACAAAACATCGCTGACCCATGTGTCATTTCCCAGGCGACCTCTTTCTTCGGCAGCCTAGGAACAGCAATCACGAGCGTGGGCGAAAGCGTCTACACCGTAGCAACCGATGGCGCAGGCTCGATAGTTTCCACCATCACCTCTGAAGCAGGAGAATTCGGATCTCAAGTCACTTCGATTGGAGAAAGCGTGTATACCGTTGCGACTAACGAGGCGGGATCCATCGTCTCGACGATCACGTCTGGAGCAGAGAGTTTCGGCAACCAAGTCACGTCTGTGGGCGGGTCAGTCTTTACTGTTGCTACGAACGAAGCGGGATCCGTCGTGAGCACGATTGGAAGTGCTGCGTCTTCTGCTGCGGATGATGCGACGGGAACGTCAGAGGCTGGAGCTAAGATTACTGCTGCGCCTGTGATTGCTGGGGGTTTGCTTGGGGCTGCGGGTATGGCTGTTGTTGCTTTGTTGTAGACGAGATTCTACGAGTTCTCAGCGATGGCGTAAGGGAAGCGAATGTGCTTTGCATAGTGTTTCCAAGACCCAGAAAACGCGTCGGAGAGACGACGACAGCTTTATTGTACTTTTATGAGTGCAGATGGAGCATCTGGTAATACGATCATGATTTAACTGCATGGCGACACCTCAGCGTGGTTGAAGTATCGCATCTTATTGTATGTCATTTGCACTAGTAGCCTGACTCCGATCGCCATGCTATACTCTGCACAAGCGCGCTCATGTTGACGCATGGTATGGTATCGTACAGGACTCCTCCGCTCCTCTCCGACTGCGCCTAATCCTTCTTCAGCGGCGAGTACGTCTCCTGAATGCCATCCCTCGTGATGATCATCATCTGCAGACCATCACCGACCTCAATATGTCTCTCCACAGCACTCGTGAACGCATCCTTCACCAAATCCTCCACATGTGCCCGACTCAACGGCCTCGGCACCAGCGCCGTCTTGTTCAAACCCTGCGGCGCCTGAGGGTCATGCTGATTCTTCAGATTGACCTGATTATCCAAAAACGGCGTGATCAACGAACTCGCGGCACCAGCAGACCGACACTGTTCCCTCTCATAACTTCCCACAGGATCATAAGAGTACAGAGCACCCTTTCCCTCCTCATCAATCCCTCCCAAAATCGCAGTCACGTAGTACGGGAAGAATCTCTTGCCGTAGAGGATGTGGGATAATCTCTGAGCGCAAGCTCCGATGGAAATGTCCTTGCCGTGTTGGTATTTGTACATTTTGACGATGGTGTCGAGACGTTCTTTCAGGGCGTTGCCATCTGCTGCGAACCCTACGACTGAGAGGACGATTTTTGCGCCCACGTGGTCGGGTCCTTCGCCACCGATTTTGAAGAGTTTGGGCGCGTAACGTGTGTTGATGTTGTAGCCGGAGGTGGAACGTGTGTCGCCTGCGAGAATTGTGAAGTCTTCGCCGCTGATTCCTAGCGTTGAGCCGCCGTTGTCGGTGTATCTGGAGCATTTGTTAGTATGAATTTGGAAGTGCGATGAGGGAGAAAGCGTGCGGGTAGAAGCCGTGTTGGCGAGGTGCGGAGCGGTCTTGTGGAGCTGATGCGAATGAGTAGCCAGGTTGCTCTGAGAGCATCGGGGCGTGGAAGGCAGAGGCCATTGTGGCCGGGATCGTGGTCGCTGGATGCGTCGAAGCTCAAGAGTATCCACTTGAGTGAGTGTTTGGTCGGTGCAGCTTGATGGAGGTGTCTGGTATGGCTGAAGTGGATTGTGGTGATGTTTCGATGAGTGCAGCTCGCAGGTAAACGTGAGGCTCCAACAGTTGACGCGAGCAGTTGGAAGCTGCAACGCACGGACGTAGACGGTCCGGTCCAGCCCGCACCGCGCGGAAGGTTTGCCGCGCATTTCGTCCAAAAAGTTCGAGATGAAAGACTTCACCACCAGTTCTCAAACACGACCTTCGACCGAAATGCCTGCACCGACAGCACTGCAAAGAGCACCGGAAGAACTGGCCGATGAGGTCATTCAAGATGCTCTGCCATCCACAGTAGAGGACGAAGTCGTTCTCGTGACCGCCACCAACGACCAGTCCACCGAAGATGCAGAGAACGATGCAGCCATGGAGGTAGACGCCGAATCAGGCGCTCTTTTCGCACCAGAAAAGCCATCGAAGTCACGACACAGGGTAGAAGAGCGCAAAGTGCGAGTACCACCGCACCGCATGACACCTCTCAAGAACGAATGGACCAAGATCTACCCTCCTTTAGTCGAGCACCTCAAATTGCAAGTCCGAATGAACATCGCCAAGAAAGCTGTAGAACTTCGCACATCTTCGCACACAACCGACACAGGCGCTATTCAGAAAGGTGCAGACTTCATCGAAGCCTTTTGCTTGGGATTTGATCTCGACGATGCAATCGCACTTTTGCGACTGGACGACCTTTACATTCGAAGTTTCGAAATCAAGGATGTCAAGAATCTGGAGGGCGAGCACAAAAGCCGAGCGATTGGACGTATCGCGGGCAAAGATGGCAAGACAAAATTTGCGATTGAGAATGCGAGCAGGACAAGAATTGTGCTTGCGGATCAGAAGGTGCATATTCTGGGTGGATTCAAGAATATTCATATCGCACAAGAGGCGGTTGTGAGCTTGATTTTGGGAAGTCCGCCTGGAAAGGTGTATGGGAATTTGAGGACTGTGAGTGCGAGGATGAAGGAGAGGTTCTAGACAAGTTGTCATCCTGGAAAGAAAATATTCATCTGGGCCGGGAAAAATTGTTGGGAGTTGATGTCAATTTAGCGATGGCGTACGGCGTTTCTTGAGGACTGCATGCCGAGAAGGCCATGAATAGAGGAACGAGATACCACGAAGAAAGTACGATACGCCGTAGACTGGATCACTCTTCTTGACTTAAACTTCGCAAGCCATCAGCGTTCAGAGACATGAATGGGATTTGCAAAAACGACGTTCCCCAGTTGGAAGAAAAGCTCACGCTCCTGCAGCTTCTTTCCCTTCTCTGCCAACCCAGCGTATCCCGATGCATCATACTACAAGACCTCACTGCTGCAGTAATTCTGGCCGATGCTCCAGCCAGGATTTGAACGTCGCTGGCCACTTGTAGACGTTGCTTGCTGTCCTTTGAACTCACTGAAGCATCATTAGGGACTGCTCTTGCTTCAAATATGGATTCATTCGAGATCTTGATGCACGACCGTTTGCACGTTGCGCACAGACGTAACACTTCGTGTACGCGTACAACACCTGGAGTTCGTTATCTTAACAGCTACACCACACTGATTAGAGCCTTCATCGCTAAGATACGAGGTCCATCTCCAAACCTACGTTCAATCAGCCGCTTCGAGGAGCCTTCAACACATTATAGACGCACTTTCACCTAGAAACCAAATGACCTCTTGTAGCAACAACACAACCGCCTAGCAACAAGAAATTCATAATAACAACGGCTTCTTGAAGGCTTCGGACTGTTTGGATACAGCTCCAAACACAGCTCCAAACACGTATGGATTCTGCTACGGTAAAGCCCTTCCAGCGCCCCCATATACTGACCAATTCGCAGCACTTAGCAACAAGCGATACCATGAAGACTCAAAAACAACCACTGTACAAGGCTGAAGTTTTCAAGACTGCCCAGGATGATGGTCCTGTGAAGCCACATCCAGACCAGGCGGCGGTTGACAAGGCGCGAAAATGCCTAGAGCGTGGCCAACATCCCAATGCATCGGAGTTCGAGGCCAAAACAGCTCTCACGATTGCTGCTGAGATCATGGAACGCGCCGGAATCTCACACGCCCAGATCTTGGTTGGAGCCCCACGTGAAGAGCAGCAAGAGTCGGCTGGACATGCGATCGTGCGGATACTGCGCAACGATGGCAAAGAGAATGGCGAAGTCAACCAGAATGTGTTTGTGGGCACGCTTTGCAGGGCGATGACGACCTTCTTTGACTGCAAGTACTACACAGCCACATACAAACCACGCACGAAGTTGGAAATCGTCTTCTACGGTGTTGCTAGCAACGTGGACCTGGCAGCAGATGCTTTCGCGAGAATCTACAACCTCTCTCTCGCTTGGGCTCTCAACCCTGAGTTCAAAGGCCTTCGTGGTCGGAACAGCTACTGCCTTGGCATAGCCCAGGAGCTCAAAGATAAGGCACAGAAAGAGAAGGACGCCGAAGAAGCTAGAGCCATTGAAGCTGAAGCTCGTACTGCAGCTGAGCGTGAGCAACAGGAGCAACAAGAGGCAGTTGACGAACAAGCTCGCGTGGATCGTCTCAATGCATCTCACTGGGCTTCGCCAGAAGAAGAGAGAAACGCGCTTCTGCGACAAGCGTTTGAGCGTGTCGGCGTCAATCTCTTCGGCGAGCGTATGCCTGACCGTACGGCTAATCGCTCCCGTCTCCTCAATGCTATCAGCAATCGGGTGCTCGACTTGCGCTCTGATCAGATACTCAGCGCTAATGGGAAGCACAAACCGGACCTCAGTCTGTACTCTGATCTCCAGGAACCCGAGGCGAGCAGAATGCTCAATCGTCTCATGGAACAGGGCCATGTGGTGCACACCGACGACATGACAGTCGTCATCAGTAATGAGATGAATCGACACCTGGGTTTAGCCAGCAGCGAAGACTGTGGCGACTATCTCGACGATGACGACCTCAGCGACGACGATGAGGAATATGGGGCAGCTGTGAGCGGAGAGGACGACGACGATTTTGAGGAAGCAGACGTCGAAATCGAAGAGCGCGGCACTAAGTTTCCACTGGACCTGAGCAGCGCCAGCCTGCAGCCTCCACTTCCTATTACCACCGCTAAGTCTACACCTCCAGTCAAGTCAGTGGACGCCATCTTGGCGGCCCCCATTGAGAAACCACAGCAATTGGAGTATGAGTCACACATGCAACTCGTCCTCAAGCGCGAGACTTTCTCTCAGATTGCCGACGACTGTCTCAAGGAGATGAACATCAAGCTTCGTGCTGGTAGGAAGCGTAAGATCAAGCATCTCGACATGAGCGCTTACGATCAAGGACGAATTGATGGGAAGAAGATTGATGTTAGGCAGCAGGAGCGCATCAAGGTATAAGCGACGGGCTGGCATGGAAGAAGAGCGAGCGAAAAGGTTTGTTTCGGATTGAGTAGATTCACTGTGTTCCTAGCGACATGGCGAAAAGTTTGGGATTTTGCTGCTGCGTTCCGCGGGCTTTGAGATCGACTGGCGACAATATTGGGCAGCAGAAGCGCATCAAGGTATGAGGGACGGGCTGGCAATAGCATGGACGAAGAGCGACCAAAAGTTTTGATTCAGATTGAGTATACGCATGTTCCTAGCGACATGGCGAAAAGTTTGGGATTTTTGTGCTGCGTTCCGCGAGCTTGGAGATCGACTAGCGACAGAACCACGTACCGAAGACTGTGGCTATACTCATAATCTCTACACGAAGACTCTGTGACAAGGGGCGATAGTGTGTAGGTGCTTCCAATATCGGGTACTTGCTACGAAGAGCCTAAGTCTAGGAAGCAACGCGACTTGGAGTACGCGAAGCGGATGGCTGGGCATGCCAAGCTTCACATGTGAAAAGGGTCCAGAGGTCACCCCGTAACACTCTGTTTCTAGTTCCCTTCAACCCCTAAACCCCTCTTTCCTTATCGAATCTTAATACAATACTATTAGATCTATACCTCTTATCTCTATCTAAGTAGGACAAGGACTCGTATCTAGAAGGCATATAAACAAGTCCTATACTCCCCTATATAAGAGAGCAATAGTATACTTACATTCCTAATTAGTCTAAGCTAAGTGCAATCTTATCCTAAATTCTTAATTAGTCGAAGCTATTACTTAGTTACTAATTACTAGTTGTATAGTATACTTACCTATACTTTACTTCTTTATTAATTAAAACCAGTACGTCTATATATAATTTTCCTACTTACTACCTCCCTTAAGCATCCCTAAAAACAACCGCAATAGCAAGTCTAACGCCGGTATTATTATTCTTATTAGTAGCCTACTTCGGAACTATAACAACTTTATACAGTACCTTATTCCTGATCGCATTGTAGTAATTCGCAAACGCGAAAAACTTACTCCTAAGATTCGGACTCCATATGAATCTCTTAAACCCTTGAGACCTACGTTCAAACGTTAAAACTTTGTCGAAAGGTTGTTTCATCTCGTTGTAGTTCTCTCGCGCAATGACCTAGAATTCTTTGTTTTGGATGTTAGTGAGGAAGACGGCTTGCAGGTTTTTGGTTTTGGGTCCTGCGATGCGGATGAAATTTTGGAGACCGAGTTCGTTAAGGGGGATGTGGCCTCGGACGTCGTTGTTGGCTTTTTTGAAGGCGATTGAGTAGACGATGGAATTTCCGTCGGTGTTGTAGGAACTTCTGTTGACGACTTGGCCTTTTTGGTTTCCCACGGTAATTTCGTGCACCTGTTGATTTTTGATTGGGAAGCCTACGTCTGAGGATCGGAAAGAAAGTGGTTCCCGGTCTATATCGCTGGTCATGACTACGTGAGTGCGGAAGTTGTAGTCTGGGATGTTGCGGCCGTCGATGAAGGCTTGGTTCGGAGGGTACTTGATCAGTTCGTCTTGCGTTTGGACGATTTTAGTATCTTCTGATTTGCTTTTGATGATGGCCTCGTACATGTCGAGTTGCTCGCGGCCGTGGGTTTCGTAGTGTGACATTGGTTTCGGATGTTCGCCTCGGCCTTCACCGTTACCTGGATTCGTATCGATGCCTAGAGGCCTCCAGTCGGGTTTTGCTGGTGACGGTGGGGTACGTGGCAGCGACACAGGTCGAGGAGGTGGACGAGCAGGTGGTACTGGAGCAACTCTAGATCCTGAGGCACCTGAAGGCACCCTTGGTCCAGGGAACGGTGGTGCTTTTGGTGGAGTGAATCCTCGGATGCTCAGAAGGATGTCATTATACTTGTCAGAATAGCTCGATCTATGTTCAGCGGCAGGATGCTAAAGACTCTCGTCTTGGGGATCAGCCTTGATTGGTGCTCCTGAAGCGAGATAAGGGGTGATTCCAGCCGCTGCGGCGAGTAGAACGGCCGTCTTGGTATTGAAGACCTTCATATTGCTGGAGAGATGATATCAGGTGTAGAATCCAGAAGTATGTACTAAGGGCCGTGAGAAATGGGAACAGAGATGACTATCGCAATATCAATGCAAAGAGCTTCCACTCCTACTGAATGCCAGTCCTGTTATACCATTCTCGATACATGGTTATACGATCTCGTCGATCACATGCTTGAGAAGAGCTTTGATTAGAAAAATTGTGGCACGGAAAGCTGAAGGGTCCCTCGTCGCGTATCCTCTGGCTGTGATGGACCGTACGGCGTAAACTGAGCCTGGGGCAACAGTAGAACCTATTCCTGAACTAGGGGCGCAGCAATCCAATAGCGCATGATAAGAGCAACTGTGTCTCTATATGGATCGACAGCCAGTGCCTCCATGTTACATGAGAGTGTACCACCATTGTAGTGCTCCAGGCGATCTTGAAGTATCGATACATGCAAGTCAGAGGCGGTAGAATGGACAAGCAAGCGCAAGGCCTGTCCACCCAATGCAGTCAAGCGCTGACGAGGATTCAATGATCCCAGACGATGGTATCTTCCTGGTAGGGTGTGCGCCGTTCACATTTTCGAACTTGTGCGGCGTTTGTCTCCGTCATGGGACGACATTCATCGAGGAGCTGGTCGATTCGTTGTAAGTAGTCAGCACCAACACGGGCCATACTAACAATATAGTTAAGGAACAGAGAGATACTACCTTTTTAAGGGGCAGTGCCTTGCGCGCTCGGGTGTCGTACATCGTCGCTGTCGCTCGTACCTCGCTGCTTCTAGTACTCACTTCGCTCGCAACCTTGAAGCTCGCCTCGCTTGTCTGAAGCTCAGGCAAATAGACTAAGAGATCGACTGGGGCTTTACGTCGCAATCTTCGTGCTCGTGGCGCTAATAAGGATCCGGGGCATCTTAGTATTACCGACCACCCAGGTGATGATGTGCGCGACATCTGTGAGCATCCGAACTCGTATGGCTGGAATATCGTCTCTACGGCGCAGAAGCTGTATTGTGACATGGAGTCCAAGCAGCTGTATCATGTCTGCGACGGTCAGACTTTCGAAGAAAATTGTTTCGACATGTGCAATAAGACCATCGTGCCAAAGCACGGGATCGTAGCACGGGATGCTGTCGTCGCTCAGACTCCTCGCAAAGAATATACGTCTGAGGCGCACTGGCAGGTCTAGCTTACGAAAGGAAGTATCTTCGACCAGGATCCTGGATCAATTACAATCATTTTAGAGTTGATTTGAAACCACACCTCGTTCTTTTTCCAGATATAAGCCATATGGACCCCACAAGCCATTGCAAAGCTTCGATGTAGCCGTCGATCTCGTTGAATCTCTTGAGCTGATCAGGCGGGGCAAGGGCTCGGATCGCCGAATGGACTATCTCCAGAAGGTGCGCACACAAGCCCAGTGCTTCCTTGAGCGAAAGAGCAGCAGTAGGCTTGGAGCTTCGCCGAGCTGCATGTCTTGCGGAAAGCACAAGGTGTGCTAGTGTCGCCGTTGGCTAGGAGCAATGAGTGAGGTTTTCTTTGAAGGCTCTATGTCCGCCGATTAGGTACTTACGTGCTACACAATTTGTCGCAACAACCTGGTCCCCAGTCTCAGGGCAACAGAATGCCGTTGAACCTTCGTGGAAACATGGTCCGTCGCGGCGGATGAGGTCGTCTGGGGTGGGAGTAGCAGACGCAAAGAAGGCTGACAGGACGATGAGAGATAGAGTGTACTTCATGGTGCTTGTGTGGATCGTTCTGTGGAGTTCAAAGAGAAGTTTGCTGTTCTGCGTAAGTCGTGCTGTAGGATTCCGGCAATTTGAAGGGGAAATGGCCAGTATATATCATGCTCAGGACCCGTGGGGTGGCGACCAGCGCTATTTCCATTTCGTACAAGTCGAAGCCAGTACTGTTGAAAATACTTGTATTCATGCCGGATGCCGAGGGGTGATCCGCCAAGCTTGAATTCACTTGACGCCGTTCGGCAGCCACTAATCAGATTCGGCACGATCTGCCTATCTGATCCGAGGTCCTTGCCGGAGCTTTCCAACCATACACACTCTCTTCGGTCATGCTCTCTGTCGGGCGATATAGCTCGCGCGGTTTGGTGTGGTTGAGTTTCCTTTGCTCCTCATTCAGCCTGAGCCGAGCACAGGCTTGTTTCGAAGCCTTGAGTGGTCGATGCCATTGCTAAGTTGCCAATTGCTGGTAGCACTGCCTAGGAGCTCCGATTCAGCTCTAGGCCCTGCTGTCTCATCACGACGCTGCTCATGTAAAGCATGATCGCCTGGGGCCAATTTAGTGTTGCTGGACCGCGTGTTGGTCAATTACTGCAACGATGTTTACGTGCCCCTTAGATGTCGCAATATCGCGAGCCAGGCGACCCACAGAGTCGGTTAGCTTAGGATCCCCTTGGTTAACTCGTTGGCTGTCGGCGTTCATCGGCAAAACAGGGATCAACCCCTACAGTGTCCACTTAGTTAGCATATGGAAGCCGCTCTGCAGGTGAATAGACAAGGCTCAATTGGACTCGCTTGTAACAGCGCTTTGCCTCTTCTAGCTGTCGCCGCTCTCGGAGACTGAATACTGACTCTTGAAGGTTCAGTCCGCGAAGTCTAACCTACTAGGTCAGCAGCTAGGTTAGCAGCTAGAATGGACCGCTTCTAAGCTACTGTTATCGATAGCGTAGAGGCTAATAAAGAAGACAACAACTAAGGGTAGCTATAACAGGTTAAAGAGGCTTATAGTGACCCTATTAAGTACGATAAGTACGTGCACTTACAGACTAAGGGTCCAATTCTTAAGAGGGCAACAAATGCGGCGCCTCGAGGGTCTGACTAGGAGCTATATAATACTAGCAACGAGGACGATATAATCGAGACTGTTAGCACCGACAACCGAGCCGGTAGCCTCTATTATCCGACAGAAGACGACCTATAGGAAGACCTATTTGAGCTATTAGAGGTCAATAAGCGCTAGCGGAGGGTTAACTTGCCTGCCTACCTATAAGGCGACCTCTCGGAGGTTAATAACGTATAGTATAAGTTCTTTAACCTCTTGTAGACTAATAAGGTTATAGACCGGCTAGTGAAGTATACTAACGAGTATGCAGAGACCCGAGAAGAGTTCAAATTAGACAAGGCTAGAAACCCCCGAATTGGCCGCAATAGGGAACCTAAGATTGTTATATCTAGTTACCCTTGGAAATTAGTAGGGCGTGAAGATATAATAATCTTCGTAGCCCTTATTATCTATATGTTAGCGATCCAAATGGCCGACAAGTCGGATTACTAGAGGGACGACAAATACTAGCTAGTCTACGCAATCGCTAAATATATAAGTAAGTAGCGCTTCCGACAGATTAAGGCCGCTCTACAGTATAGAAGTCCTATTCTAAGAGGCTCTGGATTGCCTACGTAGGCGTGGATATTGCTATTAGCCGACCTATTGCGAGACAGGTTCAAGAGTATTGTTATACCTAGAACTAATGTATCGCTTAACGAGTCTATAATCCGGTTTATAGGGCGGTCTAGTCACATTATAATAATACGAGGCAAGCCGACGCCTATCGGATACTATGTCCTTTGCCTATACGAAGGTGGATACCTGTATTCCTTCTTATTCTCAAGCCCTCGAAAGCAACACTCTTAGGAAGCCGAAACAGACGAATTCGTAACCGGGGTCCTCGAGCGGCCGGTTGTCGTTCGTAAGCAGCTTACTAGCGCTGAAATACTAGACCGTACGAAGGAGAGTAATAAGAGGCGTCGAGACAGGCTTAATAGCCTTACGAGGGGTAGTAGTTGTAATAGAATAAGTAGTGTCTACGAGGTTAATAAAATAAAAGTCGACTTCTACGCACCTGCACCTACACCTGCCTCGCGAGGCGCTAACTAGTCGGAAAGCACGGAAAGCTCGGAAAGCGCCGTAAGCGAGCCTAGTAGCATACAGTCGACCAACTACGCCTACGGAGTTAATCTTAGCGCAAGGCTAAGCCCGCTAAGAATCGCTGTTCTTCGACTATTGCTATAACTTCCATTCTAAATACACTACTTCTACGTCTTTATAGACAATCTATTTAATAACGTTGTCCTGTTCGCTATTCTAAAGCATCTCGGAATTGCTGCGACCGGCACTATACGATCCGGTTCCTTATCGTAGCCTTAGAGAGGCGCCAAATTCGAGAAGTTAGGTTAGCTTCTAAAAAATGGAAAGCGGAAGAAATTAACGTTTCCACTACTAAATCGCAAGACGACTCGTTTCCCATTCGATACCCTGCTATATAAGGTAATTTATAGTGTAGCGGCGGTTGTCTAGCAGGACAGAAATCTCGTTTAGTTCCTTACAAACGCTATTGATCCTCGAAGCCGAGAAAATCGCCTTAGGGCACGACTACGAGCCTGCAATAACGCCTTTATCGATAACTACGTACGACCTTACTAGAAAGAAGAGCGAGAACTTAAGTTATTGCTAAGCATCGCCGCTCGCTATAATAATAGTATAGGTAGCGTAGATATCTACGATTAGCTCCGGTTCTACTATTCCTCTTAGTATAAGTCGCGGAAGGGCTAGTACCCTCTTTTCTACTTCCTACTTAATGCCGCTATTGTAAACGTATACATACTCCTTCGAGGCGATAAGGCTAATAAAGACTTTACTTACTAACGCGAGTTTAGAGTTAAATTAGCGTAGCAAATAGTCTAGAAGGCACAGAACGAGAAGAATACTCGCCTAGCGGTAGAGGCGGCGGATAGGGCTCTTCGTACACCAACTCCACTACCCCCTAGAAGCTAGGGTTAGTTCATCGTAGGTCACCGCTATAATAGCAGTAGAAAGCGATCTAAGCGACATTAGATTAGGAAGGGCGATAGCCTTCCTGCAGCGGAAGAAGCAAGGCGCCTCGCTCGTAGCGGTAACGCTATCTATACGCGGAAGTCTGTTCTAGCAATGTAGCGTTGCTATCTCTGCAAGTACGTAAGGACCGCTTAGGGTCTTAAATACTAGCCTCTCGGACGTATATAAGAATACTAGACTACAATGGCTTGCTTATATTGCGGTCCTATAGCACTATGCAATCTATGCGACTTAATATAGCACAATAAGGCTAATCTATAGTCCTTCTTCGAGAGCTTGAGACTTAACCCTAATAATGCCTCGAGCGCCGCTAGCGGTTAACGACAGTCGCTATTGCTTCTATATTGGACTCGGAGACTACATTCAAGGCATACTGCTGCTTTACGAGTGCGGCAATCGTCTCGCGAAGGTAAGCAACCTCGCGCTAAAGCGCCTTAAACTCCGATCTCTTAATAGTAACAACAACCGTTGCCTTACTTTGAGAGCCTTCTTCGGCAGAGCTAGCAGCTACTATAGGCGACTCCTTAGCCTCCTTCTTCTATAGAAGGTTTACGTCTACTCTTAAGTCCTTTACTGCCTCTACGAGGAGGTTAACCTTCGCTATAAGTAGACTAATATTGAACTACTTCTTAAGTAGACTCGGCGGTTCAATTAGTACTCGGAGTATGTCCTTACTAAGCTAATAGCGACTTAGTCGACGGCGTGTACGAGACAGCCGAGACTCGGTTATCGTTAGTAGTAGTAGCTAATTAGTTATTAGAAGGTCTCAATCTATATGTATAGTCTATTGTCTATATACCTGTCTCGATAGCGTGCTTAGCGCTTCTATTATGCCTTCTTCTATACCTTGTTGTAGACCTTCACTTGCTAAGGTTTGATAACTGCAGAGCCTTTAGCTAACAAGGACGACTCGTGAAGGTGTCGGCTTCTTAACCTTGAGCTCCACTACGGCTGAATCCGAGCCCCAATCGGACAGCTTCGCTGTTCGAGGGGCGATGCAGGTTTGTATGGCACTACACCGGATTTAGCATGGAAAGTGGAACCTGACAAGGGGATTGCCAGGGTGGGTGTTCGACGGACTTAACCACGGAGGCGGTTAAGGGGATCTGCGCCGCGCTCAAGCAAATAAGTCACAACATCCAGCTTGCCAAGCTCTGCTGCTTTATGCAGAGCGGTTCCCATTCCGTATGGCTTGTTGTATGTCCATGAGGTTCTACAGTTCTCGAACATGCGAGCATTCACTGAAAGACCGAATGCTAGTAGCATGTCGATGATAGCTAGCTGATCAGGTGACCCCCTCTCCACTGCAAAATGCAGCAGCTGCCCAAAGCGCGTGTCGCCGCCGCATTGGAGCATCAGCTTGATAGTGCTTAACGACCCTCGGCAGATTGCAGCAGACAAAGGAGTGATATCCCAAGCACATCGTGCGTTTGGATCAGCACCATGCCTTATGAGCCATCGAGTCAATTCTTCGCTCCCAGCGATGCTTCTAATCGGAATTGTCACCAATGCTCTGCCCAGCGAAATGAGTCTGACTTACGCGAGTATTGGCGGCTTTTCTCGGCTCGAACAAGAGTCGATCGTCCATCCGTTGTCAAGCAACACCTGAAATACAGCCGTAGACCGGACATTGAGCAGGGCTCCAGCGGCAAAAAACACTTGGAGTGTATGCCTAGGTGTCAGGGTCCATCACGTGCCTGATGCCTGAGGCTGCAACTGCTATACTCTATCTTCGGACTTCTATATAGATTAGTCCTTCTTCTAATACATTAGTTACATTAAGTGGTTATAAGCCCCCTACGTTTCTAACGCATTCTATACGTATTCTAATAGTTAATCCGACTACTACGTAGATAGCGCTCGTTACTAAAAATTGCGCTAGCACTATTATCGTCGCCGCTACCCTCGCCGCCCTCGAGTGTTCTAGTAGGTGCTAGTCCGACTCGAGTCGGTTACTATCCGTATTAGCTGTCCGCTATACCGGTTTCTAATATTAGTATTAGCTGTCCGCTATACTAGAATATAGGCGCGCCTATCGGCCGCCCCTTAAGACAAAGTCTATAGTTTCTATATCGCCGTCGCTGTCCGTAATAGCTCCCCCTATAACTACTAACGCTTATATAAGCAACATCCCTAAGCTAAAGAATAAGGAGAATTATCTAGTATAGGCCTACGCCGCTAAAGGCGCCCTTAAAGGTATATCGGTCTAGCGCTATATATAAGGCATCCGCTAGCGACCCCTTTCTAAGGCCTCTAGTAAGTCTTCTAAGGAGTTTGAAGACCGCTAAGATAAATAGGACTCTAAAGATTAAACAGCGCGTACCTAGATCTTTGCTAATTGTATTAGTAATATTTAACAATTACTGCTTAGTCTATCTATATCCTAGGAAGTATAGGACTTCCTTAAGAAGAAATACACTAGTAAAGGTGGGTCTACTAAATTTATGCTCTACTAGGAATATATTACCCTTCGGTATAATAGCAAGGACATTAAGAAGTTCTGCAATAATTACAAGAAGAAGCTTAGTGCCTTAAAGGATACTAAATTAGCTATTAGCTAGTATTAGGCTGTCTATATATTCATTATGCAGATCTCTCTATTCTACGAGGCTTTCGTACAGATACGCCGTAAGCAAATACGCGCCTTAGAGTACACTATTAATAACAATACCCTTAACAACATTATTAGCGCGTTGCTTAATAAGAATGTAGCTTAACTGAACTAGGCCTAATATAATAGTTTCTTCGGTCTCTAGCGCTAACAATAGCAAGGTAGCAATAGTAATAGCAACGGTCGAGGTAACTCGAACCGTAGCGGCCGTAGTAGCCGCGGAAATAGCAACAATAGTCGTAGTCGTAGTAGAAACAGCTAGAATAGTTAGAATCGCGAGAAGTGCTTATACTACTAAGGCGCTTACCTATCCGATCGGTACTATACCAAATACCCTTACCTAAAGGAAGAAGACCGTCTTCGTCGCGAGAAGTAGAAGGCTAAGAAGAAGTAACAATAGGCGTTAACTGCTTAGTAGCAACAGTAGCCGTCTAGTTAGGGTAGTTAAAATGGTACTTAGGGGCTGTATACGGCTAATGCTACCCCGGGGGTGTTATTAGACCTAAACTACAATTACGCCTTTACTATAAGCGCTACTATAGTTACTGTTAGCGACTAGGTTTCTACGGCTCTCACGGCTAGCACTCGTACTACTAATTAGGTTATCGACTTAGGTACTAGTATATATATAGTCAATAACCCCTTACTACTTATTAAATATAAAGGCTGCTACATTCCTATCCGGTTTAGTAGCAACACGAAGCACGCTACGATAGTTAGTATAGCTTAAACTAAGGTTGTCAATAAGCGTAGTGTTAGCAATATAAAGCTGTCTAATACGCTGTATATTCCAGGTCTAGCAGCTAACCTTCTATCTACTAAGAAGCTTGCCGACAAGGGTTGTTTCTACCGAAATAATAAGCGTATCCTGTTTACGATAGTAGAGGGCAATAAGGTCACTGTCGCTCAGACATACCGTAAAAATGGTCTTCCCTACCTCTATATACTAACCTCTAGTCTAGATAGTGAAGTGGTTGCCCTTCTGTCGAAGAAGGGGGTGCCTATAGGCACTATAGACGAGTAGCATCTGCGATATAGCTATATTCATCACCGTAAGCTGCTAAGAATAGAATCTGAGGGTCAGATTGTTATTACTAGTACTAAGAAGGACTTCCGCAACTGCATTGCCTATCGTATAGCTATATCATATAAGGAGTACAATCGGCTGCTACGCGTACGACCATCTACGATCTATTATATTGTCTGTATAGATATAGTTACTATTACCAATCCTAGTCTGTTGCAGGAGCGCTATTTTACACTGTTCACATGCGCTAAGTTAGGCTATCGACACGAATATGCTAGCACGCTTAAGTTAGGGGCTGCAGTAGCTATTAAGGACTATCGTATACATATCCGTACACAGACTAGTTATTCAATCCCAATCTACCGCCTCGATAGAGAGGGTGAATACGGCGGAAATTAGCTATTAAGCTAGGCTCGAGACGAGGGCATTGTACTGTAGATTACGGCTCCTTATTCTTCTACTTAGAATAGCCTTACTAAGATTAGCAATTATATCGTATATACGACTACGAGAAAGATAATACTGCAGGCTAACCTTCCTAAGTTCCTATAGCTATATACTATTACCTCCGCTATATAGGTCCTTAATATTACGCTAACCGCTAACGGAGGAAGCCTATATACTATTATCGCTAAGGAGCTCAATTGGTTACGAATACAGCCGCGTCTTTAGCACCTTCGAGCGTATAGCTATACGTTAATTGCCTACGATTACAGTATTGCTCGTAGAAAGAAGATAGACAGCAGAGGCCTAGTTAGCAAGCTAGTTAGCTATACTAAGGGCTCTATAGACTCTAGAAAGTACATAATCTACCTGCCTAATTAGCGCAAGGTTATCGCTTCTAAGGATGTTCAGTTTATTAAGTTAGATAGTGACCTTCTACTTCTAAATAGTATAGATCCGTACACTAACCCTAATAACCCTTCTAAAAGCGAGTTTATCAGCATTGAGTCTATTATGCCGGCTCTGTTTAATGCTATAAGCAACGAGCCTCCGCCCCTATTAGAAGCCGCTAGTATAGTCTAGCAACTTCTAGCTTAGCAAGAAGAACAACCTCTAGAAGGGCTAGTGCAGGACTTAGCCGACGAGGTTGTTAGTCTATTGCTAATCGAGGACGACCTTCTAGACGTTTAACTACTAGTATCGAGTAATAAGGATAGTTTCTAGTCCGCTAAGGAACAGCCTGTATATAATCCATAGGCTAAGAAAGGTAAGCCTAGTTAGTTGCCTAAGTTTGAGCGGCCAACCGAGACTAGTAGTCGTTCTATACGCAAGACACGAAGCAATAAGAGCGCTCGTAAACTGTTGCGTAGCTATCTAGCTAATACTAGTATTAAGCGCTCTACGCGCCGCAATATAGCTAACATGCCGATAGCCTATGTTAAGGGTTTCATAGCTTCCTATTACATTGCTAAACAGTCTAATAGAGACACTATCCCTATTCCGAAGAGCTATAAGGAGGCGACTTAGTCACTATATTAGCTATAGTAGAAGGAGGCCTATAAGGCTAAGTACAAGTCACTAATTGACAACTATATATAGGTTTATATATCTCGGTTAGAGGTGCTAGAAGGCAGGAAGGTTGTCCGTAGCCGATAGGTGTTTACTATCAAGCGTAATGCTAATAGCAATCTAAGCCGGTTTAAGGCTCGTTAGGTCGTCCGTAGCTTTATATAGGTTAAAGGACAGGATTATAACGAGACCTATACGGCTGTCGCTAAGCCATCTACGCTGCGAGCACTGTTTAGCTTGATTGCTTATTACGACTTAGAGGCTAAACAGTATAATATCCTAACTGCCTTCCTTAATGCCCTTATCGGCGACAAGCACAAGATCTACGTTAAACAGCTACACGGTTTTGAGGACCGTAGTAGCAAGGGCATAGTTTGCCTATTACTAAAGGCACTATATAGTCTAAAGCAGTTACTAATGCTATAGTATAAAGAGCTTTGGAAGTACTTAAAGAGCCTGAACTTTGTACTAATAATAACTAACGTATATGTGTTTAAACACGTTGTTAGCGGCTCGATTATCGTTATCTACGTCGATAATATAATCATTATCGCCTACAGCCTGTTAGCACTAGAAGCCGTTACTTAGATACTAAAGGACCGATTTAGCATGCGAGAACTTAGTAACCTATACTACTATCTCGGCATAAGGATCATCCGTGACCGCAACTAACGTACTATCTATATCGTTTAGGATGCCTATCTAAATAGGCTTAGTGAGAAATATAGTATGCGTAGCCGTATCGGTCTAGCTACTCTAATAGCGCCTCGCTATATTAAGACGTCTATTCAACGCGCACCTAAGGGCTATACAGCTAGTACCGCCTTTAAGACTTAGTATTAAGAAGGTGTTAGTAAGGCACTGTAGCTAGCCATAATTATACGACCTAATGCTTGCTATACTGCAGGCCTATTATTACGATTTATCTCCAACCCTACTAAAGAGCATTATGCCGCGCTCCTTTAGCTAATTAAGTACCTAGTTAGTACCCTTAGTCGTAGTATACGCTTTCAAGGCAATTAGAACGAGGCTAACGACCTCAAATTCGCTAGATACTGTAACGCCTTATAGGCTAATAATCTAGTCACTCGTCGCTCTACGGGCGGCTTCTACTTTACTATTGCAGGCGGACCTCTATTATATAAGTCCGGCCGCTAGACACTCGTTACACTATTATCAACTAAAGCTAAGTATATTCAACTTACTATAGGGGCTAAGGAAGCAGTTGCCTTAGCTCGCTTATTAAAGGAAATTAGTTATAAGGGCTATATTCTTCTAGTTACGCTCTACGAGGACAATTAGTCCGCTATCGCTATTACTAAGTCTACTATTAATAGCCGTACGAAGCATATAGATGCTCGTATCTACTACATTCGAGAGAAGATTACTAATAGTACTATTGTCGTCTAATAGGTTAGCACACATAATTAGATAGCCGATAGCTTTACTAAGCCGCTTAATAAGACTAAGTACGGCCGCTTTATTAAACAACTAAACCTAGTAGATTGCAAGGCCGCTATTAAGAACGCTACGAAGCTAGCTGCTAAATACTAAGGAGGGCCTTTGTTTACTTTGTCTAACCTAAGAGTAGTCCAGTTTGTTTACCTGTTTCTGCTTACCTAATACCCCTTGTTTGCTTTGCTAACAGAATGGCTATTGTGTTGTTTGTTTCATTCTATAGCGATATATACGTGCTAAGGGGGTAACTTAGAGTATATGCCTAGGTATTAGGGTCCATTACGTACCTAATGCCTGAGGCTACAACTGCTGCACTCTATCTTCGGACTTCTACATAGATTAGTCCTTCTTCTAATACATCAGTTACATCAAGTAAAACTTGCTTGAGGGAAATTTCTCGCACAAGAACTGAAGCATTCCAGGACGCTGGTAGTTGATGGTTGACGAAAACGCTCCTGCTGTATAATTCTCGGCCGCATAGTGTTCGTCAGGTGCACACACAAGGCGGCAGAAAGTAGGAAAATCCCCCGCTGAGCATGCTTGCGCGAGCTTGACTTGACCGATCGGCAAAAGACTTTGGAATGGATCTCCATCGGTCTCAGCTGGTGGATTATTCTGCTGATTGTGAGCCCGCACGGCGTCCAGTTGTAATCTTACAGCCATCTGACAGAAGCTTTGCTCCCGACTAGCCTGGTCTACAGATGTGAGACTCGACATTGTCTCCATCACGGAAGCCAAATGAGTTCGATCCGCGAACGCACCACACAAAGCGTCTTCAACGCTCATCGAACCAGATCGTGGAGGATGACAGGAAAGGAAACGTAAAATTTCGTAGTGAAGGCCACGAGCGGCCCAGTACATCGCTCCCGCGTATGAGTTTACTTGCTTGTGCGAGATTAGAAGCCGCACCATTGAAAAATGACCGTTTCGGCAAGCATCCTCAAGATGAACATCCAAGCTACCCGGGTGTTGGAACTGCGAAGTATTGCCAAGGATAAGCTGTGCCACGCAGATAGATCCATTCGCCGCCACGATTCGAAGAGTCTCAGCCCAAAACTCGTTGCTGAATGCGACTTCGAGAGCAACACCATGCGTATGAAGCAATTCAAAGATGGCTAGCACAGTGCTGTTCTGAGATGCTAGGGCGGCGCTCTTCAGGGCCGGGCCAAAGCAGTGAGAAGGCGACAAATCCGTGAACAGTCTCTCTATCTCGGCCCACAGTCGTGGGCAGAACAAAGCAGCTCTCCCACGTTCGGCGGCGTGCTCGAGGGACATGATAAGCCGGGATATCGCCAAGTTCCGGTGCGACCGCAGAGTAGCCCTTAAAATGAGATAGAAAACGTCCACCCCTGCGTGAGATCCAGCGACGACTAAGGTATCACCAAACCACGTTGTTCGGCCAGAAGCATTAGCTCCGAGCTCCATGAAAGCCTGCACATCGGAAGCCCGGTTCAGGAAAACTGCTGCAGCAAGTGCATTGTCGAGGAGACGAGCTGCATTTCTTTCACACGAAGTCCCAGTCGGAACCAGATCCTGAACAATTCGGGACAACGGAAGCTGGTCTAGCGCGAGGCGTACGAAGGCGCGCTCGTATAGGTCCTCTGCAGCTCCCTCGATCGTAGTTCTAGTCACCTGTACCGAGCGGAGAATCTCTCGAGTCAGCGGTCGCCACTCGCCCTTGATTTTCAATTTTGAAGTAAGAAGCCCTTCAAGCATGGTCTTACTTATGTGATGGTGTCGTGAAATATGGCTTGGGCTTTGTTCATCGGGATTCTCGAATGTGGGCAAGCCATAGATGGCGTCCAGAAGGCATTGGTCAAACCTCTTGCATACGCGCCTAAGAAGAGCCGACTGGCGTATCCCAGTACAATACAACAAATGCTCGCATACGAGAGCTAGTATTTCGATAGGTAGGTCGTGTAGCATCTTGAAGGTGCCAAGATGATAAAGAGCGCGGAAGGTGCAACTCGCAGGGTCGAGCCCAGTCTCCTAACTCCGTAGTTGTAACGTTACGAGTCTTGGCGCCGAGAACTAGTATAGAAACGTAAATAGAGAGTTTGGTTAAATGGAAAATAAAATTACTAAAAGTCTAGGTAGTAGTATAAAAAGAAGAATAGAAAAGATAATAGGTTATTTAAAATTAAAATAGTAGATAGTAGGCTCCTATATCTTATATATACCTATTATCCTCTATTTCTAAGTCTAAAATAATAGATATCTAGTTCTAATTAAAAGGAGCAATTCTATATATTTATTTAGTATCTATAGAATTATTAAAAAAAAACTAAGAAAAGGAAACTTTTATTTTTTACTATAAAAATCTTAAAGTATAAACTATTTTATTTAAAGGGGAATAAAGTCGATTGCTTTTATATAAAGGAGTAAATAATATAGTTATCTATAAACAGCCCCTTTTAATATCGTATTACGTAATGCAATCTACTAAACTATACGCGATACTTCGGCTTCCTTTTATTTACGTATTAATATTACAGATCTCCGAGGTGCGGCCTCTAAGCGTTATATATACTCGCTGCTACTATACAGATCTTTAGAACCGTTCTAGATCCTAATTAACGCGTTCGGCAACGAAGTAAAACGCGTAGGAATATATATCTACCTACGAGATACGTATAGCTAAGTCGAGCTTCGGTCTCTTTAAGTATAGGACAAAATCGTATAGGGTAGTAGTGTTAAATAGCTAGATAGCAGACAGTTAGCTTATATTCGTAGACGATACCGGTCTGCGGCACGTTTAGCGTAGCCTTATATATAGTCTATACTACTACGATCCCTCGCTTTTCTATCTTACTCGCTAACGTTATAGGTTCTACTATGCGCTAAAAACTAATTATCTTAGACTAAGATATCTAAGGCCCTATCTACTTATAATAGGTTATAGTATAACCTAACCGTAGATTATAACAACTCTTCTAATAACTAACCTGTCTTATATAATAACGATTATTAAATCGTAGGTTATCGCTATGCTCGTAAACTCGCTAAGATTATGCTATATATAGTATAATTAGTATAACTAACTCTCGAGGAGCTTTCTGGGCTATCCGTACGCCCTATAGACTTCCGGTATAGCGCCGTAGTATCTACCTCTTTCTACGTTCTATAAAAGTATAAAAGTAGCTATATAGCAGTCGACGAGGTATAGGACGGCGGAGGTAACTAAACGAGGTACGATAGAGCGATTACTAGCGGTCGTATTATCGGTAAGCGCCGTTGCTAGTACGATACCGTTGTTACTCGAAGAACTACCTAAATTGCGCTGCCGTATAATATATCGACCGTTAGGACGAAGGTCGGTTTAAATAGACCGCAATAAGACAGAAAGCGAGGCATTTCGGGTACTAAATAGTCCGCCGAAGTACTATTACGAGCGTACGAGGTTAAAGCAACCGGTATTACGCGCGTTAGTAGATAAGCTACGGAAGAATAGTTTAGAAGGCAATAATAGAAACAAATACTCTATTAAGTTACGAGTTATCCTCTTTCTTATTATAGTCGGATATAATAGGAGCCTTAGCAACCTCGCTAACGACTTTAGTATAGCAAGAGAGATACTAAGAAGGATAATTTATACCGTATCGCGCTGTTTGTATCGTATAGCGAAGTAATAGATTAAATTGCTATAGAAGGACGATAAACCGCTATAGTCTAAGGGTACCAACAGTAGCAAGTTCTAGCTATACTTTAAGGGCGTTATAGGCGCTATCGACGGTACCTTATTAATAGCTAGTCTACCGAAGATTAATAGTAATCTATAGCGTTATCGGAAGGGCTATATTATACAGAATATAATAGCCGTATACGACTCGTCCTTACGCTTCTTATATATAATACCTAGATACGAAGGGTTAGTAACGGATAGTACTATATTAAGGAAGGCCTACTAGTTAGGCTTCGACGTACTAGATAGCTACTTCTATCTTACGGACGGTAGATATTCCTTTAAGGATCTACGGCTCTTAGTTCTATATTAGAAGATACGATATTACCTCTACGAGTAAAGCGAGGCGGAAGAACGACCGACTAATTATCGAGAGATTTACAACCTCCGCTATACTTAGCTTCGTAACTATATCGAGAGAGTGTTTAGCGTTATAAATAGGCGGTTTAGACTTATTAAGGAGGGACTAAATAGCTAGCCGATTACCTAATAAAGTCGCTTTGTCGTCGCTTATTATATTATCTATAATTTTATCCTATTCGATAGTCGATAACCGCTATCTTTAGAGCTAGGCCTCCTTCTAACTAATACTAAATTAAATGCCGCTCGAGAGGCCGATACGATAGCGGAGGTTTACGCTAATAATAGGCGCTACGCCGAAGAGGTTAAGGATAAAAGTTACGCTAACTATCGTAATAGAATCGCGAGGTAGATATATACTGAATACGACGGTAATTAGGTAAGAACTAGACTTAATATAAGGGCGTAGAGGTAGGAGGTACTACTTAGAGTACGGCGAAGGATATAATAGGGTTTAGTAGATACCTATAGAATATAAAGGCGATATACGGAGTCTAGTTTTTAGTAAGAAACTTAGTATAGATTCGAATTCTAGGCCTAAACCGTATATTAGAGGAATATTACCGTCGCTTCTTCCGCGGATAGGCTCTTCTCTTATCGAAATTATATTAGGATTGAATCCGTAGGTTCTTAGTAAACTTCTAAGATATTAAAGTTTAGGTTAACGGGGTATAGTTTTTTTTTATATAATAGCACTCGTACGTAATTACATTTTGCTAGTAAAAATTAATAATACCTCTATACAAATTAATAGTATAGCCGTTAGCGTATATTTATACCGAAATTCTATCCCTAATCTATAAATTCTCGCGTCGAATAGTACTAAATATATGCTTCTTCTGCTATTTCTAAAGGTTGTTATTAATAACAACCTACTATCTATATCCTAACGGTACGTATCTACCTTCTATCTGCTATAAATATATATTCTAACGGATGTTAGACTTAATATCCGTTAGTATAAATAAGAAGTACTCCTTAAATTACTCCTAGTTTATACTCGAAGCGACCTCGTAATAGTCGAACTCCCTATTCTTCTTTGCGACCTCGCGTACTAACAATATACGATTAGCTATCGGTACGTCTATATTCTTAAAGGTCTTCTTATCTAGTAGCCGCTTTATAACGTTGCTAACGACTAAACTAACCTTAGTAGCGGCTAGCGTATTAGCGCGTTACTCGTCCGCTAATTTCTTCGCTAAAGCACGTTCTTCCTTACTATCCTTTACTACCTCCGCGACTATTAATACTATAGGCTCGAAGGCCTTCTATAACGACTTTATAATAGTTAGATTCTTCTCGTTTATATCCTCCGCCTTCTTATAAACCCGATCGGCCTCCTTCTATATCTTCTTTTAATGCTTTTCCGCCGCCTTAGTAGCGCGTAGTACTATTAATTACTCCTCCGTAAAGGGCGCGGAAGCCGCGCCCTCGGTAGTAACCTCGACCTCCGATTCCTTACTACTACCCTTATTATCCTCGCTCTCCTTACTAAGGGCCTCGTTTATCGCTATATAATCGCTAGTAGCTACTTCTAAGCCAATTAATTCGTCTATAATATCGAAGTGCTCTAGCAATTTATTACGGAAGGAAGTATACCTTAGATTCTCGTCGAAATAAGCGTCTTCTACGTCCGACTCGGCGGTTAGAGGTATACTATTCTAGCTACTTATATACTTTAAGTAAGCAATCTATATACTCTAGTCCTTCTTAATTAACGACTACTTATTCTTTAGGTAGTCCGCGGTACGCTCGGTACTATATTTCTTATTTACTAATATAGCGAGGTCTCGAAGGTTACCTAACTAGAAGTTATTAGTATTAGTGCTACGGCTAATCTTCTTAAACTCGTTTAACTGCTCGAGGAAGTACTCGGTCTACTCTTAAGTCTACTATTATAGCGCTTTACGCTACCTATCTTTATTAATTAGTATTATAGTCGCTATACGCTTCCGAGTCGCCTTTGCCTTTAACGAAGGTATCTTTAATAATAAAGCCTAAGAGGGCTAAGACTTAGTAGATTGAGATACTATATTAGCAAGTATTCGAATAGCTTTAAACTAAGAGGCTAGCTACTCGACTAACTATATATTTCTATAGTAAATATACTATAAACTATACTCGCTAAAGTACTCGTCCTCCCCGCTCCTCGCCCGCCGATTTATTACTACCTACGCCGTTATCGATATTATACTTCTAATAGTAATAAATACTATTAGAAGCTATATAGCCTACTACTATAAAGAGGTAGAGTATAGCTACCGAGCCGGAGGCTTATTATATAGGTCTTAACACCTAGTACTGTCTCATAGATAACCGATTATAAGTCGCTATAATCTGAGCCGCTTATGAGGTTATTATAATCTCTCGGTTTACGCTATAACCTGTTGCAAGTAGACAGGGCCTGAACGTCCATTTTCCGGCATGACTAGGATCCACTGGCTTACCCCAACGCTCATGGTTGGAGCGCTGCTATCCGGCATAGCATTCGCGATAAGACATCACCTTTTCTACAACAGCTTGGATCAAAAGGGGGCACCCGACCCAACCGATGACTTTACTATCGCAGGTTCGAAGGTTGCGAAACAACAATTCAACACCGCTGTAGGCACAGCGTTCGCATTTCTTGTGCGTGCGTGTCTGTTCTCTGCGGTGTCCTCGGCTTACCTCCAAGCGGCAATATGGCACTTTAATGCTGGGACCAAGTCGCCTATCAAAGTATCAGAAGTGGACGTCGTGATGTCTGCACTCGTACATATTGTAAAGCTGGGCTCAGGAGTGTGGTCTCGTCGGCCTCTTCTCGGCTACACAAGTTTCAACTTGGCATCCGAATTGACCTACGTTGCGAGTGCCGCCACAGGCAAAGACTTTCTGTTCAACTACAATGGCCCGAGAAATGCGGTCAACAGGATCGTTGTCGCTACTGCCTCGCAAGGTGCAACCATACAGATGCCTGCCCCTGCTCCAAACTCAACTTGGGAGATTGAAATGCAAAATCCGATCCTGAAGTGTGAACTTCTTCAGGGCGACGTGAAACGAGCTGTCGAAGACAATATCATCAACTATGTACGTGCGACTGATCCTAGCCGACAGACCTACATCGTTGGACCTGGTTACCTTGCATGGCATCCTTTCAACACTACATTTGCTTCTGAGCCTCGAGATTTGGTGCCATTCTTGCGTGGCGGCGCAAACGGAACATACTACTTCAACAACTCGCCCTTTGGACGTCTTGGTCAGAAGTACTATGAAGGTGATCAGCTGTCCATATTCATTGCTGCCACTGGGCCGCTCATGGGTGAAGGCTTGTGTTTGTATAACTAACAGCTAGGCAACGACGTGAGACAAGTGCGCTTGACTACGCTAAACGCGGAGTTGACTATCGATGTAGGGATCCGTAGACGCTAAAGCGGGTACGTCCCGTACGCGAAAGTTTTATTACGCTAGGATCTTCTATTACGCTAAGCGTTACGCGATATCTATACGCGCATCTTTGCGCGTATACTCTCTTCCTTTCTTTCTATAATATACTACTAGTACGTATCTACCCCTAGTCCCTACCCCTATTCCTTTATATATACCTATATATATACGCGACGAGCTAATAAGGCGACTTCGATATCGTAGCTAACCGAGTTCCCCTATACTACTATACCTAAGCCTATAGCTCTATATATACCTCCTAATATACCGTAAGACATTAAGACCGTTGCCTAGAATAATACCCTACTAGAGCAATCTATAAGTATAGAGACTAGGGTATATATCTGCCTATGCTTATACCTATATAGAGCTCCTACCGTAAATATAAGAAGCGCCTCTTATAGGGCGAGTTATTTAGTATACCTAAGATAGAAATCGTAGTATATAATCTCTCTTCTACCTATATAATAGGCTAAACTAATGCCTATAGATCTGCCTAAAGACTAACTAGGAGGCCGTACGCACCTATATAGGTAAGGTAACTTATCGTATGCCGGTAGGATCTAAGAACTTCGGTCGCTTCCTAGCTGCCTAGAAGAATCGCGATAGGTATATATAGTATTATGCCTATATTACTAGTTATTGCTAATACTATAATAGAAAAGACGAAGACGAAGAGATACTAAAGGAGTTATACGAAGAGAAGGGCTTCTATAGTATATAACTCTGTCTTTGCCTATATATATGCCTAAAGCTAATACCTTATAGACTATCTACCGCGACACTTCGGCTCTCGCTATATATATTATCTATAGTGTACGTAGCTCCCTACCTAGAGCTTTGCCTATACTAACGCATATATAGTATAAGGGAAAAGTCGAGCAGCCTAAGGAGAAGGACCGTAGTAGTCGGTATACGCCTAAGACTAAGATAAAAAAGTGCATTAGTAGGTTTAGGTAGCTCTATAAGCAAAGCTTTTTGCTAATGTGTCCCTTAGATTTCTTCGACAATGCCTAGGATCTATACGAGGTTAAGTATAGCTACATCTTTGCCCTTACCTTTACCTGTACTAATCCGTATATAGCCCCGAAGCCCTAGGTATACCGAGCAAGGGCAAAGCTAGGGGTAGGGCACCGGCCAAATCTGCCGAGACAATCGAAGACTTAGAGACTAAGTCTAAGTCTAAAAGTAATAGCGAGATGTATATACCGATCTATGCTTATACCGCTAGTTATATACTAACTTAAATAGGCCCTTCGTCGTCCGGCGCGGCAAGTACGGCAAGGTATAAATAGTTACGTATATACCTTTGCCTATGCTAGCGCCTATACAGATTAATCTAACTAAGGCTAACCGCGAGTTCCGTGCCGAGTTCCCCGAGGCTATAGTACCTTGCCTAGGTTGCTAGGCTAAGAAGGCTAAGAAGAGTAAGTCTAGAGCTTTAGCTATAGCAATACCTATACTAACGCCTATAACAGACTGCAACCTTAGTGCCGATACCTGCAACTATACTAAGAACTACAACGTCGTTATCCTTATAGGATAAGGGTATAGATATAGGTATAGGCACGGGCATAGGATGAATATAGGATAATTATTGCCTATATAGGCACGTATATAAGTATAGAACTAGCTACTAGTTAAAAGCCCCGGCTATAGTTAGACTTGAAATCTAACTATAGCCAAATCTTCTCCGCACTCGTAACTTCCTATATACGCCGTACTATAGCTATAGGTCGCCCTTTACAATATCGTAACTGCTTTCGAGGCTTCTAGAGTCTAACAAAGGTAGCTTAACTAAAAAACAAGGGGGATAACGAAAGGCTAGCGGTTATATCCTAAGAATAATATAAGCTATACTAGTACTAATAAGTACTAACAGCTAGAAACTAACAATAATTATATATATACTAGGATTTATAGGTAGTAGAAGCTATAGTTTAGACGAATTAGTATAGAAAGTTTGAAATAATAGGGGCCATATTAGTAAAGTTACCTGGATCAAAATAATTAAAACTAGTATATAGCGGGTAGGTCCTTTTTAGTATAGATACCTAGAATTTTATAACTGCTAGTTTTAGTCTAAAAGACATAGAGATACCGATCGATATTATACTATAGCGTTACTAGTAGGCTGGTTTTTTATATAGGACAGATGCTACTACTAGTACTATACCTATTCTCTAGTCTTTAGCTATAGCAGTAGGGCGTTATTATCCCCTACTGTTAATAGAATAAAGGTATAGTCTTTAAAAAGTAGGTTTAGGTATTCTTTTTAAGTTAGCTATATACTAGCGCTAGTACGTATCTTATAACGCCCTAAGGCCTATATACTATTCTATCGAATACGTTATATATATTAAATTATATAAACGTATAGAAGTAGTAGTACTCTAGTTTAATACTACCCTATTTTGATTTTTATATATATATATATATATACTACCGTATAGGCCTATATACCGACTAACTAATATTAAACTATATCTTAATCTCTAGCGTAGCCTAGTATCGGGTCTCGTATTACTCGGGAGATAATACGCTACTTACCCGCTTTCCGGCTAATAGTGCTATTCTATCGGGTATAGTCTACGGATCTACTAGTAACCCGCTTTTTTAGTTTAGTATACTAAGGTCGGCGAGGTATGTTTCTAACTAGTATCGAATTGCTCTAATACTATGCTATACTTTTAACGTAGCAAGCTAGATATATAGCTAATCGTATAGATATAGGTGCTTTAGCTAGGTATTACCTACCCGCTCGCCTATACTAAATAGGACAGTATAGGCTATAACCTAGAGATAATCGGCTTTCTATACTAGTAGGCCGGGAAGGGTAATAGTACTTATATCTACTACTTTAAAGTCGGTAGCAATCGCACTACTACTAGTGCCTATTTCGATTTTATAGGTTAGTTTAATAATAAGGATTTGCTACTCGATCGTATATATCTAGAAGACTAGTTTGTATACCTGCTATACGATCTAATTCTAGCTAATACTAAGGTCGCCGACTATATTATATTTCCGAATTGTAGTATATTAGACTAGGACGCTAGTAAGGCTCGTGCTATTACTATAGTCCGCGGCGTAGACGAGTAGTATATCGATAGTATCTAGAGAAGTATGTTTTACTATAACTAAAATATTTAGCTACCGCTAACTAGGCAACCCTAAGTAGTACTATAAACGTTTACTATAGTCGGCCTAAGATAGTATTATATACTATCGTAGGTTAGCGTACTAGCATTGCTATACCCTATAGTAGGTCGGGTTAGTTTGGTTTAGTTTACTAAGCCGAAATTCTAGGTTAGTTTAAGTTAGTTTGCTAAGCAACTATACGAGTAGCAGGTTAGAACTATAGAATTAGTCGGTTTCTAACAAGTATAGGAATATATACGTAACTTAAAGCAAGCCCTTTTTAAGACTAGTACTAATAGAATTTTCGAAGACTTTTATTTCGGACGTCTAATGAAGCATAATATACTATATATATACTTAGAGAGTATTTATAGCGCGCTATATAGCGCCGTATAATAGCGGCATATTTTGTATATAGAAACGCTTATAGAGGATACTAAGAATATCTATCCTACTAGAATATCTATCCTACCTACTACTATCTCGAATTTAGATATTCTAACCCTTAAGAATCTAATCTAGGGCTTTAAAATCCTTACCTATAGTCGTAACGCGATTTACGTAGATAGCTATAAGGACAATAGCTAAAATAGTATTAGTATAGTTCCAAAAGAGGTAGTAGAATTTAGTAGGAAATTCTACCTAGATATCTTCCGCAGTTACTACTTTAATAGTAATAATACTACTATATATAGTCTAACTATCTAGTATAAAGACCCGGCTAGAGGTACTAGCTATAGTAATCTTATAAGTAACCTAACTCTATTACTAGGAAATATAATAAATATCTATACTACGGTAGGCTATACTAAATAAGTTAGCTATTTAGTAGGAATAGGCCTACTACCGTCTCTATATACCGGCTCCGAGTGCCGACTATGCCTCTAGATTTAACTCCCCCCTATCTCGAAGGCTAAGGTACCGAGTAGAACCCCTATACCTTATATCTACTCGGTTATCGCGGAGCGCTTATAAGTAAGATATTAAAAAAGTATATAAAATATACGAAAAGAGCATCCTAGGATATAGGTCGTTAGTAAATAATAGTAGTACGCCTAGTTATTTATATAGTACGTTACTCTAAACGACTATAAGCCTATATTATCTCGTACTTCGCTTATAAGACTATATTATATACGACCGGGTAAGTATAGTAGGGAGGTAGAGGTAGTATCTTAGGACGAGGCTTCTATATATCTTAGAATCTCTTATACGGGCTATACGTTCTTCTTCGTTAGACTCGTAGGTAGAGTCGTCGCTAGACTCTACTAACTTATACTATCGATCTCCTCCCTAGTTATCCTAGCTATACGAGTAGCGGTAAGCGATAATACCTAGATCGTATAACGATCTCTCTTCTTCTTTAGTTATATATACTTCTACTTCTTAGTATAGTTAAACTACGAATACTATTAAGGCAAGCCGGGATATAGAAAGAAACTAGTCTAAATATAGCTCGTCTCCGTAATAATCGAGTAAATATAAGGCGCTAGGTTTCTACTTCGTACCTTATATCTAGGTATAACGCGGGAATAAAACTAGGAGTATAGCCGGTATATATAGCTAGTAAAAGGATGCGAAAATATGCCTCCTCCTAGGTTAATATAACGACTAAATACAAATCCTAATTAATCCGCTATAAACCGACGCCGAATCTTAGCTAGAAGCTATATATTTTTATATTAAAGAGCAACCCGCTTCGTATAGATAGTAAGGAGGTTAGAAAGCTTAAACTCGGTTATAAGAAATATCTAGGGTTG